AGCACCACGCTGAGGAAGAATAGATAATAACGGTATTCAATGAACAATAGATAAGTAGATAAGAACAATGGAGCGCTAATGACGGTGGAGGCCTTCACCGGATATCAATTAGATAAGAGTTAATTGATCTGCACATCTCCGGAACCGTGCATCCTATGCAAAAATGGACCGCAGATTCGTGATCAGAGCATGCCAAAACTTTTTTTTTAGGATCGTGAATCGACGAACGTCGTACTTGTACCACTTCTGACTCAGTGCGCCAGAACTGGTACAACGTAACTACTCTTGTACCACTTCTGACTCAGTGCGCCAGAACTGGTACAACGTAACTACTATGAAGTCTCTGATTGCTGAACTAGGAATTATACCTGTATCTCAGCAATCAGCGCCCTCTCCCAATTTTATGACCTAATAAATTAACAATAAAGGTCCAAAATAACAAGAATGTTTCAAAAGGTATAACAATAATATACTACTTAATTTACGTACTAACTGTGTGTTGACTGTGTTAGGGTTCAAGTGTGCGTGTGTGTTTGTGTATGTGTGGGTGTGTGTGTATGTGCGTGTGCGTGTGTGTGTCAGCAAGCGTATTTTTGCGTTTGTGTATGCATGTGTTTTATATGTACTTATAAATAAATGAAAATAACAGGATTCATCAAGCGGATTACATTATAACATTAAACAAGTCCTCCGTTTCTTCATAATTTAATGATATAAGCCATTTTTCTACCTTCTTTTTAAATTTGTAAGTGGAAGTGGATAAAAGTCAAGAATTTTGTTTATTTTGTTATACAAATGTACACTAAGATAACCATGTTGGCGCCTGGCAAAGGACGTGCGGAAAGCGGTTGGAGTCAAGACATTAACTATTGTACGTTTTCTTTCTATTTTGTCTTTGTCGTATGCAGTAGCAAGATGTTGCCTGCTTATAAGTTGTAAAATGTATAACTGCCGAACAGTAAGAACTTGACAATCACTATAGAGTGTTCTAGTTGGGAATCTAAACGTCTTAAAAGTCATCGTTTTAAGCAATGACCTTTGGGCTCTTTCAAGTCGCAAAATGTGGGTTTTGCATGCGCCACCCCAAACTCTAATACAATAGTTTATTACTGACTGAGCAAGCGCGTAATATACTATGCGAAGTGTATCAAAATCAGCCACATACCTTAGATGTTTAAATGCCCAAATTAGCTTCCTTACTCTAGAGGTTTGTAGATCTATATGATTAACCCAGTTTATTTTACAATCTAAAATAACGCCAATTTGTGTGTGTATTTGACAGTATCAGATTTATGGAGCATATGGCATGAACATTGTCGATCTTTCAGTAATTTACAGCAATGTAGCTTGATAGATATATTTTCAGTGTGGTTTTCCTTGATATTAAACTGGATAAAAGTTGTTTTTGACAGGTTTAGAGTAAGTAAATTCAATCTTAGCCAGCAGTTTACCTTGTGTATTCCAACTTCAGCATTTTTACAAGCCTTATCCCAAGTCTCTCCATAAAATACCAGCGCCGTATCATCAGCGTACGTAAATATTTGTCCATTATATAGTGATCTGTTGGCAAAGATCATTAATGTAAACCAAGAAGAGACTAGGGCCAAGTATGCTTCCTTGTGGAACACCATATGTAACTGCGTCATAAGAACTTACTATTCGATCGATCTTAACACACTGCATACGATCACAAAGAAAGTCCTTAAAGATGGAATGCACTACACCACGAATTCCTTCTCTCTCTAGCTTGTCAAGGAGAGAGGGAATCGAAACTGTGTCAAATGCCTTGGCTAGATCTAGAAAAACGTCAATACATTTTTGCTTATTATCAAGCTTAGTGGTAACGTAATCAACCAAGTCACTAACAGCATTTTCTGTACTTTTTCCCGACCTGAAACCATATTGATGTCGTGACAGAATATTATTCTTTTCTAAAAAATTCATCAACCGAGTATTTAAAACTTTTTCCAAAATTTTTGATAGAGCAGGCAGTACAGATATAGGCCGGTAATTATTTATATTATCTTTTGAGCCACTCTTGTGTACTGGAGTTATAATGGATTTTTTAAAAACTTTTGGAAATATACCCTGATCTAGACAGATATTAAATAATTTAGTTAAAGGCGGAACAAGAATATTTCTAGCAAGCTTGAAAAGTTTGCTAGAGATAGAGTCCCAGCCTACAGTCGTTATTAAAAGAAAGGTTTAGAAGCAGAACAGAACTATGGTCAGTAACAGTTGAATTCAGAACAACTACTGTGGCAGGCAAATAGGTTTTAATCATGACATGGTCCAAACAATTATTGACTCTCGTTGGATAAGTATGTCCTGGTAGAAGACCTAGTTCTGCCATAAGATTTAAATAAGATGAGCTATTTTTATCGGCATTGTTAGGTTTAATGTCAATGTTGACATCACCTAAAAGATACATATTTTTTGCCTCAATGGGTTGAAGAACATGTTCAACTGTGTTTAGAAAGCTGTCAATACTATAAAACGATGGCGATCTGTATGTGGCTAATATTGCAATATTTGGTTCCGTCTTTAGCAAAAGGAAGTTACCACCAATCGAATCTGGCTCCTCCACAATACAATCTATTCCAGATTTTACATAAATAATTATACCGTCATTTTAGTTTAAGTTTTTTTTAGAAAAATAACATGTGTAGTTATCAATGAGTGGAGGAGGTTTGTGACTACTTAACCAGCATTCCGTTAGAATTAGAATATTACATTCAAAAGTAAATCTTTCCAATGGTGCCATTAACCCATCTATGTTTTTATAAAAGCTTCGTATATTCTGAGTTAAAACATTTATAGATTTAGAAAAACTGACATTCTGAATAATATTATTACAGTGTTCTGTGCTACAGTTGTATGATTTTGCCACAGAGATATTATCAACATCGATTGTAAAATTTTCTACGTTGATAGCCGTCTTTTTATATAAGTTATTTGGTTTTGCTTAATAAAAAATATTTCTGCAACAGTTGTTGCATCCTAATCTGGCTCTGAACAAAGAGAATAATGTCATTAATATGGACTCCGATAAGTTCTATGACTTTTTTTATAATTTAGAAGGCATAGAAGGCATGATAAATTGTACCTATTATATAAATTAAAATTATTAACAAAATATATGTTTAGAGGTGAGATTGATGATTTTTTGTTAAAAAAATAATTTTTGTAGTGTAAAAATATGTATGAAGTGTTATAGTGTATTTGTGTAATGTAAACCGCAGTACTACGATAAAGTAACATAAAGGAAATATTAAATAACAGTAAAATTTTTAATAAATAATAAAAATAAATGATAATTCTAGTCATTGAGTCTTCCTTAAATTTTCGAGATCGGCTTCACTGTTAATTCGTATCTGGCTGGATTTTTCATCTTTGCGTAGGTAAACAGTTCCGTTCAGAGTCCAGCAGTACATAAAACTGTGTGCCTTTTTGAATGCTCTTGCGAGTTGAAATAATTTTTGAGTCTTTTGAGTTAAAGTTTCTGATATAAACACTGGTTTCTTTGGTTGTTGCAGTTGTAGGTGAGAAGTATTTAATTTCTCGTCTCTTGGTTTGTTTTTATTAAAACTTTTTACCGCTCTAAGTATTTTTTCCTTGCTGATAACAGAGTTTAGTTCCACTATAATCGGACCAGAACTGTCCTTGGAGTTTAATCTATATATATCTTTCAATTCGGAGTCTTCTATACTAATATTAACGGCCTTTCCGGTCTTTTTAATAATGTTAAACAAAAAATCTTTTGTTTCACCCGTTGATTTAGGAATATTTCGTACTTCAATCCCCGATGCACGCATTTTACGCTCCATAGTTTCCAATCTGTCCTCCATTAAAGCCATGTGCCGTTTGTCCTCTTTTCTTTCTTTTTCCAAATTAGCTATTATTGTAAGTAAATCGTCATATTTGTTAGACATATGCTCCACACTTCGTTTTAACTCATAATTTTGCTCTTTGAGATCTACAATTGTACTTTGTAAATTATAAAAACGCGTTTCCTGTTCCTTAGAGAAATTGGTAAACATATCTTTTATCAAGGACGTGATACTGTCAACTCCTCCAGGGTGCTTTCGTTTTTTCCTCTCACTGACAGTCGTCCTAAGAGTAGTTAAATCAGGCGCGGAATCGCTGTGATGCATAGAACTGATTTCTTTTGTTGTTAGAGTGTTGCACTACTGAACGTGGGCGCTATTGGTGTGGTGAGTGGCGAGGGAGGGGGTGTACGCTTCAACGGCATTGTGATTGTGTTCAAATGAATGTACTAGGATAGCAGAATTAAACAATTAGTGACACTTTTCAAATATACCTCCTAAGGGTCAGGTAATCTGGACGTCGAGCGATGAGTTCGTACAAATTAATGTTCCGTCCACTTATGCAAGACCTCTTCATAAGCAAAGTGCTTGAAGTATATTTATTCTTTTTTTTAATAGACTGGCGTGTGTTGTATTATGAAGTGCTCGTCTTCCAACTTATTGCAATATCAACGGCGCCGCCTCATTCTTGAGTGGCGCCGCCGTGATGGCAGAAAACGTCGTAGTTTGAGTGTGATAGTGCATGTGGCCAGTGGTCCACACTGCTGGCCGCATCAGGGAGCTCAAAGTCGCTCAAAGAGCTATCAGCGGTCTATGTTCGGAGTTCTCTGCGTAATAGATTTAAAACTGAGGATATCCGCAGTAAAATTAGAGTAATCGGCATAGCTCAACGGATTAGTAGGTTGAAGTGGCAATGGGCCGGCCATATTGCTCTAAGAACCGACAATCGATGGGGAAGAAAAGTTCTCGAGTGGCAGCCTCGTATAGGTAGACGAAGTGTAGGGCGTGCCCTCATGATGATGAACGCAGGTGGGTCAGGACCGTGCTTTGTGGCATCCCTTGGGAGACCTATGTTCAGCAGTGGACTTGTGAAGAACTGTAATGACGAATGATGATGATGAGTGTGGTAGTGTAGTGTATGGCGGTGTGCGTGCATGTAGTGAGCGCACTCACTTGGGAGCCATGTCGGTGTAGCGGCGAGCGTGCAGCGCGTCGAGCGGCGGCACCAGCGGCGGCGCGGGCTCGCCTCCCCCCGCGCCCGTCCCCACCGCCGCCCCAGCGCCCGCTCCGCTCGCCCCGCCCGCTCCCCGCGCCCGCCCCGCGCGCTTCTCCGCCTTGTAGGCGCTGCAAGACCTCACACTCAGGCGGACGGGGCCTCGCGCCCACCACACTATCACCAGCGACTATCATCCACCCACCCACTTCGCAAAATTGAGCGAATTTCTATGATAAATTATAATAAATTAAGAGCGCTAGGATTATGTCTTAGCGGTGATCCATTTTAGAAACTGTTATAGTTCGGCCGTTCAGAGAATGAATGAATTCTAAATCTATACTGCGCTATTACAAGGTTATGTCAGCGCTTTATATTTGTAGTGCTGTGCTAACAATAACAGGCAATAACAGTATCGTAATCTGTTCTTATACAGTTATACTTTATAAAATAATATGTTTTGTTTTTCTTTTTAAGAATTTGAAAATAATGGACTATAAGATAACTTTTATTAAATATAAAAATAAAACTACGACCAAAACGAACGCGCGAAAGAAAGTAGTATTTTTATATTTAGCTTGAAAATGGTAACCCCAAATGGCGTTATGGGCCGCCATTTGGTGACGCTAAAACAGTCGTCTGTTGTCGTTTCGTACGCATAGACCACGTTCTTCAAGTGTTTTCGATCTGTTTTTATTTGATTACCCGGCTTTCGTTTAATGGACTGTTTCTGCTTTTCAAACTGACATCGGCGCTAAATCGGACTTCGATTGTGTTTTGTATTGCGTTCTTTTTACTTTTGGTGCATAATAATGCCTAAACGTTGACAAACATTGAAAAGTGGAGTCCGTGAGTTAATCATCAAGCTGCAAGATTACTTTGAGCGGGATCGGCAAAATGGCGGACCCCTGTTACCTGTCAAACAAGTACAAGAACGCGCCTCTCAGGCGCTTGGAGTTAGCAAACGAACGATAACAAATATTAATAAAGAAAAGTTCGGCTCTACTGGCACGGAAGATAATATTTTACGTACTCCGAAGAAGAAACGTAGAACTAAACCTGATTGTGGAACATTTTGACCGAGATATCAGGATTAATTCTGTTATTGATAATAATATAATTATACATGTAGGCGAAGATGATGATGAACGACACCACCTCCTCAAGCGAATCGGAGTCTGATTAATAATTTGTACGCACATTCAATTCAATGTACTTTATTGCATAGAAATACAGATTGTAACTTTGTAACAAAGAATAAATAAAACAATTTTATTATATTAATATTACCTTTTTTTGGTTTCCACTTAAATTACTAAAATATAAATTTTAAATGATTCCGCAATGGAACGGTAACGAACTCAGTGTTATGTTGTGCCCATCACTAGTCGTGACTAACTGATAGGTGTCAGGAACGCATTATCTGAAAGGCCGAACTATAGGAGAAATGTAACAAAAACCCTGTAGTTCCCGTTAAGTGTGTTATCAGAATCAGTAGCCAAGCGTATAGAAACATTTGTTTTTCAAAAAAACGCAAATTTTTTTAAAAGAAAAAATTATTTTAATGAAAAAAATAATAATTTGCAAATTGTATGTGGTTTTATTTCCTCTAACTCACACGAGTATCGGTAATGCGGGGTCTTTGACAATACTCTAACTCATCAGCCAATGCAGAGATAATATTTTACCCCTCTTTTTCATTAAGGAGTTTTTAGCAGAGTTGGCCAATTTTGTAAATAAATATTCTTACTTGGTCTACTCCCAATTAACCTTAATTAGTAATGACATTCAGCAGTAAATGAACCAAATTACACTTCGGTGATAGTCGCTCGTGATAGTAGTACAAATATTTTTTAACGTTTCCCGGCAATAACCCAAACGGAAATATAATCACTAAGGAAGGATTTGTTTGGTCAATTATAATACTTTGTTATGGTATTTCCGTTTGAGTATTACGTCGGAAGAATAATTTTAGAAAACTTTAATAGCCTAAAACATGCAGCGCCAATAGTACCAAAACTTGTAATACGAAGTTTAAATAACAAGAGAAGCCACACGACATCCCACACATTCCAACAGGTGTAAATTTTGAATTAGAAATACTGAGCGCAATTTGAAGAATACTGATCAGAGTAAGAAGTCCTATAAACAAGTAAATAAGCCAACAGATATATGAGCATGCCAAATTAAACAAACCAAATAAAAGACAAAGAACAAGCAAATGATAAATTATTGTTAGTTACCGCGAGTGAGCAGACGTTAACTTCCACTGCTTTAGGATGTGCCCTCTGTTCGAGTCTGAGACTTGTGAGTCTTTATACGCATTTCACAATCACTATTATGCCCAGTACTCTTAAGACTAAACTTATCCTAAATGTAATAACAATTGTAGAACATAAATTCCTAATAAACGGTGAATGAAAATCACAATTAAATCAAATTATGGCACGTTAAAGTTTTACTTTAATAAAATAACGTTGTGTCTGTGTTATGCACCCTTAGTCTATGTTAATATATCTAATTGCCTTATAGTGAAAGTATAATTTTATAAATATCAAAATGGACCACGAATAGATACAACAATATACAAAACACTAAATACAATAGCTTATATACGGCATATAGTGGCGCCATATGTTACAATACATTTCCAAAAACTACTTCAATTCACTGCAGTGCAATCCCTTAAGATAAAATCGTAGAGCAAATCCATTGTTATAAAATGTATATAATATATTTGTATGGGATACAGTTATATTTAATTATAATTATTGTACACACACACACACACAAAACTATAGTTAAAGCTGTCAGCATTTCTAAACAATTGAAACTAAGGGAGTAAAGTAAAAACTTAGACAAAACTGATATGATAAAAAAATAAAAAAATGAAGATGTTTGTGCATTTAGAAGACAAAAATCAAAAACTTTAAAACAATATATATTATGTACCTAAATCAGTAAAAACATATGTGTTTCATATTAATTGTTTAAATCTGACAAGGGTTAAAATTCACAGAATGGATTGTAGCAAGTACAACCTGGGTCATACTAAAAAATGTGATAGACGCAAGTTTTATATGCATTTTATAATCGAAGCCACCACCGACATAATATTAGAAATTCTGACAGTTGTTTACAAATAATAAGTTTGATAATATAATGACTCAAAGATGTTTTATAGGTACAGATACCATGTACGCGCGCCTAAAACGCTTCCATTTAAAAGGCGCCAATATTGGCGTATTCGTTCGAACGTTCTGCCAGCGACGTTCACTGCGAACGTACATCACGCACCAGTGTTTTTAATTTCACAAAATGACTGTTTGTGCTATGAAATCATGTAAAAATTACTCTTGAAAAAAAAAGATAACGATAAGAACATCACTTTTCATAAGTAAATATACAATTTTCTGGTGTATTTCTTGATAAAATAATACGAAAGCTGAATGTCAATGCAAGTAATAATACTGCGCAATAATATTCGAGTGATGCCTACCGTATGAAATGTTTTTCCATATTTGAATCTCATTAATAGATGTAAAGCAACTATTGACAACGGATATTTATCCAAAGCAGCCGATACGCAACCGTTGTTTGATAAACTGGATCGATATATGAATTTAATAAAAACATTTGCTATCTCTTGTCCGAAGTTAACTTTTACGGTTACGCTTAACCAAACTTACTTTTGTACGTCATTTTACTTAAGATTAAAAAATAATTAATGTCTTCATAAAAAGCGACAATATTTTGGGTTCTAAGATACGAAAGTGTAGTACTCTATATATATTCAATAATAATAGATTAGTTCAATATATGTTAGATACATAAATATCTACTGTGATTTTTATTTATTTTTAACTGCTAGCTTTTATTACTTATCTTCACTATTTTAGTGCGATTTTCGTACCTACATAAAACACATATAACCACCCATATCACTTGTGTGTGTATATCCCCATTCACATACGGACACAAATACACACGCCTCGACACACAATTTTACACTCAGGTATGTCAATATAAATGAAATATAAAATCTCCCAAATTTTTGGGCAATCGATTTGCACTATTATTACCGAAGTCACGCACACTAATGCAGGCATGGTACGTAAGATATGCGCGTCACGTGGTACTCACGCACACATGAATCAAAGACTGGCGTCACTGTGAACGGTGCGATGTGTTAGCAACACGATATCTGTACCTATAAAACATCTTTGTAATGAGTAGTAGATACAAGATTATAATTTATTTGTGCCTTTAAATACGGAATTTTAATAAACAACATCACAAATATTTATTAATTAATTAATATAAGAGCAGGTAAAAAATTATTTACAATACTTTTTAAGTAAAGTTGAACTTTCACATTCTAGGTTTATTTTCGGCGACATTTTGCCTACAATTCCTCACGGTACTTAAAGCGCGTGTGCCCTTATCGATATCTTTATTTAAAACGTTTGTATATAAATACAAATTGTGAAAGTCAAATATACACATATCTCGTATCAAAACTATGCAATAAATGGCTCAAAATCCTTACACTGGTACACAACTATCACTTTAGCTACAGTATGGAAATATTGATTTTTAAATTCATAAGTTGTACAAGCGTTGCGATATAGTATACATAAGCTACTGGACAAACGTTGGGTATTTCTTGTCACCTAGTCATAAACTAGCACATTTGGATAAACACTGGTAAAATTACAGCTGCAAGTTCCGGTTGATTTTGGCTCAAACGTTTGACCTTGAAGCAAGGTGAAAGCAGTCGGTGAGTGTACACAATGGACGTTTTGCGGCGACACAAGCAAAGCAGTATGTACATTATAGTTATATAAATTAGTGTCCAATAAATTGTAATCATTTTTTAACAAAACCGTAGGTATCGAATGAGTATAAAATATCATTTAACATTGCAGAAAAGTTTTGGAAGACAACAGTTGACACTGTAAAGAAATTAGTTGTTTTATGCTCCATGAAGTTTCGAATTTTATACAATCTACTTGTATACCAATATTTGTTATAAAAAAGTTTTAGCGAAACTGCTTGACAGTGGAAAAATCAGATATAGTATAGACAAAAATAAACATGAATTTTCGAGTTCATTCTAATGAAATTTAATAAAACAATTTCAAAGATTCACTTCTGATATGCTTTACAAGTTATAAGATAAAAATAGTTTCCTGCCTAAGGCAATCATCAACGATATGCACCGGTAATAAAATCACGAACAATCACTAAAGAGATACAAAGCAAAACACGTCAGGTACAATCTTATACGTAATTCGAATAAAGATGTAAACAATAGGTCGACATCCGAAGATAGTAAATGGGCGGATAGGGTTGCCGGTGTTACCGAGCGCGTTACTCGGACTCGTGTATGCCGGACTCGTTGTCCTCGTCCTTGGCGTCGAGTCGGGTCTTGAGGTCGTCGATGAGGGCGGGCGGCGGCAGCAGCGCGCACACCACGTCGCGGCCCTCCAGCAGCAGCGCCGTGCCCGCGCCCGCGCCCACCCCATCCCCCGCGCCCGCACCCGCACCCGCACCCGCACTCGCCGCGCTCCGCTCGCGCCACTCCGCGATCTTGCCCTCGATGTCGAGCGTGCTGCGCTTGGAGCCGCTACACCACCCGACCGTGTCACTTCGCGTATCCACACCACACCCCTGCCCCCGCGCACACTCCGCGCTGCCAGACATTCGCATGCAACTCTCAACCTTATCGCGCTGTGTTATGGTTAATTTTCCATTCAATTTCCAGTCTGGCAACGCTGAGCTTGCTGCGACGCAATGGTGAGATGATAAGTATTTAGTACAGCGATTTATTTCTAGATTACGAAATGACCGTATAAGGCATTCATCACAGAAGATCTTCAATATTAGACTTCGATGCAATCCATTTCCTGTTCGACTACTAGTGTAGTAAATAATAAAACTTTTAGGGCCGATCCTCATCATAATGCCGTTCACAGTTCGTTCACGGTCTGATAAAATATTATCAAGTAAAAAATATATGAGTGCATTCATACTATCCGGCAACAACCAAGTTCCGGTCGAATCCCATTCCAATAATATAATACATCAGACCGAGATCGGATCGAAAACGAACTTTGAACGGCACATGACGATCGACCTTTATACATCACACCTGCTACTGGACAAGCCTTCTTTTATTTCTGACAAGTACATATGCACGCTACACGTAAAAAAACGTACAACAGTACACGTACAAAAGATATTAAAAATATTGGAGACTAGTTTTTTTTTAACTTTTCAAAAATGAGAAAGAGTAAAAGTACTATTTCTGAAAAAAAAAATAAACAATTTTAAAATTATTGCAAAATATCCTACTCTACACAAGATACGTCTCTCTTAAATATTTTCATATGATATACCAAACAATAAATGTAACCGTTTAAAACTATTGAGATAAATTCCACCATCCACATACTAAATGATTAACGCTGTAAGATGGTTAACGCTTGCTGTTATTACTTTTTTACATACTAAATACTTATCAACCCACTATTAGTATGGAAAAGTATTTAGAATCAAATAATAACGAAATTATTTTACCAAGATATTAGCATAAACAAATAGCAATCAGTCAATTATCACAAAGGTCCCAGTTTGAGGACACAATAATATTTAAAATGTAATTTTAATTTAATAAAAAAAAATCATAAATATTATTGTAGTCCCCAGATCTTGATCCAAATACAATTAGTTCCTCACCGGTAAATAAAACAAAATTAACTAAAAGTAAATGAAAAAAAAAGATAAGACAAATTTACATCAGGGGTCCGCGTGCTGGGAACCAAAGTTTACATTAATTTACACAAGTTTACAATCATGCGATTGTATTTATACATGCTTCTGCATTCTTAATTAGTACAGAGTAGTTATAACTCGATCATCTCTTTCTTACATCATGCTGATTACACTACAATGGCACAGCAGTGTTACACAGCACAGACAGAGAACTTGAATGTTCTATATTCAAGTGGAAGATCAGTAACATCGCCGGCTCCCCTCACCAGTGCACTAATCGCTACAGAGTTAGGTCCATGCACGAGGGTGTACTAACGCCCTCATTACTAATGTTTTGAACTACTAATTCGCACATCCAATACGAGGAAACACGCTGTAAGCAGTACCACTGAAGCTATAATTTCTTTTTACAATTTTTATTCATAACAAATTTATTGCTTCATTAAGAAAGAATGTGGCAGACTGGAATTGAATGGGTTTCCTCGTGAGGATTGAAAGCGCAAGAATTGTGTGATCGCGACTACACTTACTTGGCGAGGGGTACGTTATCGCGGTCCGCGTACGCGTCATACAAATACTCGCTGCAACAAACAACACACGCACGTTGTAGGCGGCGCACGACCCCCAGGAGGTCAAACATATCCCATGGGGGTGTCACCGAACTTCGAATTTAGACGGCAAGGGAAAACAATGTACATACACACCCGTATTCACTAGCTACCATAACAAACTTTCGCAAATCTGTTTTACAATTTAAACCATTATATTTTAGCAAAACTGAGAATTTAGTTTGAAGACTCTAGGTGTAAATGTGAAGACGAGTATACAGTACTTAAACAAAATCAAACATGAACTTATTTCATCAAAATATTGTTATATTAAGAGTTCGATTATAGTTTTGTTAATACACACAAAAACTAATCACTGAATTTCAGTAATCATGGAATTAATGGAAATAGAAGAATAAAATAGAAAGTAAATAAATATATTTGTTTTGAAATTACTAACAAATTTAATATTATAATAATATTTTTTTTAAATCTTATGCGACACAATTATTAGAAACCCTTTATAACACCTCACAAAATGACGATGTACAAAAATAAATACACGTAAAAGTAAATAACCAAACAAAACAACCTCGGAGTGCAGGCATCTAAATTCTACCGCTAAAAATATGCATGTAAATGATAGTATAACTAAATAACGAACGGAAGTCAACGAAAATGGTAAATTTATTTTACAATCAATTTACATACTCGTATGATACTCGAATACAAATTAAAAAGCTTTTTTTAACATTTTCGTTGACGGACTGTACAAGACATCACATATGGAGCTAAGCGTCACAAGAAAACGGGCACTATGTTATAATGAACTGTATTTATAAATTAAAAGAAATGAATATTTTTTTTAAATCTAGTACCGTTTAGAAATTAGTTTCTTTATGGGTGGAGAACACACAGCAAAACAAACAGAAGGACCAGACTTTTTACTTTTTATAGATGTGTTTTAATTTAGCTTCCATCTGAAATGAACTGTTTATTAGCTAAATAGCATCATCGCAATAACCCAATCCCACAAGTCCCCTACGATACTGAAGTCTCTGCCGAAGACTACCAACAAAGCACTCAGTCACCAATTAGAAATCTAACCTTTGCTATTTTATCAGTTTTCTTAACAAAAGCTGTTTTACTGGTTTTTTTATTTTTATTTTTATGTATATTCAAGTACCGAAGTAATATAACCTTTAAGGTTACATCTACCAAAGATCTAACCTTTAAAGGTTCGATCACACTAAAGCGAATCTCTTACGAAATACATAATGCGGGAAGATAATTCACTCGTTCATATTAATCGTGCATATTGATCTCTAAGAAAATTTATATCGACCTCGAAGAAATTTGAGAATTGTTAATTTCTACAGATGAATCTAAGTTTTTAAATAATAATTGAATACAACGTATTTCAATTTAATCGCGTCACCATTTTGTAAAATATAGATTTATTATATGTAAACACAAGTAAAAATAACGTCCCTTGAAAATTTCGCTTCTTTTCAAGTGAACATTCTCGCCTATTAGAACAAAATTGTTACGCATTTCGAAGCTGGCGATTCGCTTACCGAATCTCGCGCGAGATTTGCTTCAGTTTAAAAGCAATTAATGCCCGTTGATGTACATAGTTAGATATTTTACAGTTGTCGGATAAGTAACATATGCTATAATTTGAAAACATACAAGCAATGCATGCTTAAGCTACAAACTACAAACTGGTTATAGGAATCGTCTAAAGATGTTCATGGCACAACAACCATTTCTGTGTACAGGGAGCTTAATTGTAAAAACTCTTTAAAAATAAGCGTTTTTAATTTAACTACGGCTAAGTCAGTATATAAAAGACTAAAAAATTAATGGAAATAAGTTCACTGTACATAGAAAACACAATTTAGTATGTAAATTAACATACGCACTTTAGGATAAAGAGGAAACGGACTAAGAGTAATGAGTAATTACATAACATGGTAGAAACAACAAAATGTGATGGGAAAATACTAGCAAAGATGGTAGAGACTCGACTCTATAGCGATGAAATCTAACGTAACATCAACACAGTCACAGAATAAAATAATGAACATGACCAACCTAAACGCACGTTAAAAAAACAGAATTGATACTAAATTCTAGTCTGAATTCGTTGTGCCAAATTGCAGTAAACGTGAAAAATAAAATTTACAGTAAAATTGTAAGTTTAGCGTGTATGATATTTCCTTTAAGTGCACGCTTAAACAACTCAAATACGAGGAACCTAAGGAAGGACTAGGAACTAAACATCAGGTGATCTTACTAGAAATTCATTTTTCTAATAAAGAAATTTACCTTTGTGGATCATACAACAACTAGAATATACAGACAATAAAAAGGACAACCATCATTGGAAAGTCAAAGAGAAATCAAGAATTTTAGATGGTAATCAGTTATAAAGCTAAAAATAAGTTTAAAAGAAATCACACCACAAATACAAGCATAACAACACTGATAGCTATGACTTAAATGCATGTTGCGAGGAATTTAAGACAATTCAATAAAAAAAAGAAAAAGTAAAAAAAATTGATAACATATCTTAAAAACAAAATAACAAAACTGTTTGAACATAAATAATGAAACAATAAAATAAAATAATATTAGAAAATAGCCATTGACTGTTTGCAGTGGCAAATATTACGTAATAAACTAATAAATATGTTAACAAAATAACATTAAATACACTAGTGTAAGTTTTTGAAAATGTCAAAGAATTTTTTGAATTTTAAATTTGCAATTCAATTATCGAAATGTGTTAAAACAAATTGCAAACAGTAAGTACAGAAGACCTTACGTAATATTTGTCACGTCATTTATAACTGTCAACGGTTTATTAATAAAATGACTGATGAGTGAAAAACCATAACTTTTAAATGGGTACAAAATACAATATCTCTACGAGGATTGTATTGGCCAACCTTTTTATATTTATATATTTATATATATATATATATATATATATATATATATATATATATATATATATATATATAATGATAATAGAATGTGGCAGAATGGAATTGAATATATACAATGAAGATGTTAAGTTTGTAAGTATGTATATTCAACTTGCTATATTACGCATACACCCCTGGCGACTTATTCATAAGTTTGTATGATTTTTATTCCGTAATATGTGTGAATTAACGTTTATACCTATGATGTTATTTAAAGTATAGAGTATGTAGACGACGGAGATTTGCTTGCCAAAAGAAAAAAAAATTATCAGCAATGAGAAATATTTATTGACTTGAAAAATAAAACATTATCCAAATACAAAATTTTATTCAATATGTCGGATCCATGAGGGTACTTTTCGGCATTGTCATGTAATTATTTTCAGAGAACACATAAAAAATACAAATATTTAAGACCACATGACATTATATGCGGCGTGGGTGGCTGGTTGGCGGGTAAAACGTTCTAAGATACCGTCGTCAACGACGGTGTTGCCAAATTTTAAAATATTGCTGAATTATATGCAAATTTTAACAAAACATGTATTTTTAATAGCAATAAAGTATGTTGGTGCGCTTAACAATCTATACCTTAAATCATCATTGGCTTCTGCTGCGTGTTTATTGTTACTGGCATAGATGTGAGTTTACGCAATTTCGCTTTCAACTGATTTTTTTAATATTTTATTTTAAAATACTAGGAATATTTAGTTGTTTAGGAAAAGTCTTTATTCAAAGTGTCTTTTGTCTGAATCTTTTATCTGAACCTGGGATTGGCTACATGGAGAAAAGGAGTGCCCACTACTGCCTGAAAATGAAGGAAAATTTGTCTTTCTGCACGACAAATCCACTCCACTTCAACATTTTAATTACGATAATTCAAGTGCATAGACATTTATTTGACAATTTTTGTTAATTCTAATAATACAGAAGTTGATTATGTATCTATGACAATTTTAATGATTACTAGAAAATACATTAGTACAAAATTAATAAATTTTTTGATTTTACCAACTAACTGACTACTACAAAACATCCCACTTAAGTATTCGATGTTCAGGTGGAATTGTACCTAGGTTATCAGTATTTGACCGAAAAAGATAAAAGAAGCCGAATAGGGCAAATACCGAACAATATCCAAATATTCGTTGCAAGACTAATAAATAACAACATCTTAGTATAAAAACGACTTCAAATTATGGTTTATTTATACGTCTGGACGTAGTGTTTGTGTAAGCGACTCACAGTATGGTGGTAGTAGTGTAAGTGTCGTTGTGTGCGGAAGTGGTGGTGTACTCACGCCTCGACGAGGGGCCCGGGGTAGGGGTCGGCGTGGCGGTACAGGCGCGACAGCCGCTGCGCCACTACCAGCAGCGGCACGAACAGCACCACGCACCACGCCAGCGAGATCCAGTACCCGTTCTGCAATGCAACGTCTACTTTACTTTTAAAAGTTTACTAATAAGTATGGGTTTGATTTCTCCGGATTTGTCATTATCACCACGCTTCGTAGTAGTGCGTTGCATTTTAATGCTTCAGTTTCGATTTTTTTATAGTTATGGTAACAAAGGTGACGTTCCCACCAAAACGCCCGAATATTCCTTGCACATTACCACGTGAGCACCATGCTGTACAGCTTAATGTATAGCTCATTTTACAGCTTAGTGTACAGATCAGTGTATAGCCCAGTGTACAACTCAGTGTGTAGCTAAGTGTACACATCAATGTACAGCTTAGTGTATAGTTCAGTATATAGCTCAATGTATTGCTTAGTGTGTAGCTCAGTGTACAGATCTGTGTACAGCTCAGTGTACAGCTTAGTGTATAGCTCAGTGTACAATTCAGTGTACAACCCAGTGTACAGCTCCGTGCTGTACAGCTCAGTGTACAGGTGTTGCAGGTGAGGTGACACAAACACTCACGGCGGGCATGAGCAGCGCGCGGCAGAGCGCGTCGCGCGTGCTGTTGAAGGCGCGCGACAGCGGCGCACAGCGGCCGAGCTCGTGGCGCGCCGCGTGCTGCACGCGCCGCCCGTACAGCTGCAACTGCTCGCTCACCGCCGCCGCGAACTCCTGCGTCAGCTGCAACCATTCCGCGCGATGCACATACCGCCCACAACAACCACACCTTCACACATGTATAAACTTGACTTGAGCTACACTAATGCCAGAACGAATTTCGTTCATAGCAGTCAGTCTTAACGGAGACTAGGCATCTGAGCAGGACAGGGTTATAGTGCCTACTGTGTATTTCAAATTTTTTTTTACATTAACTTCATGTCATTTCATAAAATGAATAGAGCATTTGATAAATCTACATCTATTTAATATGAAAAAGTTTCTGAATTCAAATCGAAAAAGGCCACAAGATATGTTTACATATCTTCGGGATGCTCATAATTGAGATTTGACTAAGCTTTAAAAGTGCGATACGCTTGCATTAGATTTTCATATGACAAACTATGGCAAATAAATAAAAAAGAAAGAAAAAATTATTTATTTAACCAACAAAAACATTGCAGAAACATAGAAATTCTTACGAAGTATAAATTGGTGAGTAAGCAGTTATGGATCATTAGAATCGTTAAGTTTTGTGAATAAAAGAAATATCTTAGTGTTTACTAAAAATAATTACATTCTTTTTAAACTACACTTAATATTGTGATTAATCATTAACAGGTTTGTTTAAAAGGCTAAATTTATAGAGTTAAAGACAGAAAACATATTAAGCACATGTTATAATGCTTAGTGCATTAGTTAAGCCGATGGGCAATTCCAATTAATTACTGCGATTAAGTTTTATTTCAGTTTTCGATCAATTCTCTGTGATTGAAATCTAATAATTATTACCTACATCAAACGTTAACAAAATGCATAATGTGATAAATCACAAGCATAAAGAAATCAAGTATGACCTAGTACGAAATTCGGGTTAACGAATTCCCTAAAACATATTTTATTTAGTATTTTATGTCTCTACGAATCCCTTTTATTCTTTTCTAACAAACCAAATCATCACATAAGATAGTTAACAAAGGAACGGTACTCCAAACAAAATTCCCTCAAATAAAACAAACCTGATTTCATAATTATATAAAGCGACATATACATATGATTATATCAATAACCTATGTTCACAAAATCAAATCAGTTTATTTTGTGAACATAGGTTATTTTACAGATCTCAATATATGTCATAGTAAAATACAAGGTAGGTTCTCTATGTCCCGCCAGTAGGCATACAAAATATAAAATAATAATTGCTTAAAATAATTTTCCTTCTCTTTTGATGTCAGTTTTTAATTGAAATAATGTATTAATATAAGAAAATTTTAAATATAATAAAGGTATAGTATAATATAACATATAATAATTATCATCATTTTGTCTAATTGTCATCTAGTATTAATTGTTACACGTCATGATAGGTATATATTCAATGTAGTATTTTAATGTTAAAATGTGTCGCTAAGGAATTCATCTAAAGAATAATATGCTTTTTCATTTAGTAGATCAAAAAGTTTCCGTTTATAAATATTAATGTTGTCACTATCTCTAATGTATTTAGGTATTTTGTTATATACTTTTGGTGCCATTGCATATATAGTCTTCTGTAATAAAACAGTTCTACTTGATACTAAATGAAGCTTATCTGAGCGACGTTGACTTTCCACGAACTTATACATGTTAATATTACGTTTTACAAAAATGCTTGTTTCATAAATATATAATGAGGGAAATGTTAGAACTTTTAATTTTTGAAAATGCGGCTTGCATGTGTTTGTGCTTTTTAAACTACAGATCGCACGTAGACATTTTTTTGTGCGATGAATACTTCGCGAATGTTAGGTGCATTTCCCCAAAATATAACGCCATATCTCAGGATTGAGGCGACATAGCCATGGTACGCTGCTAATAGTGCTCTCTGGTTTGCAATTTTTCCCAACATATAAAGAACGTATGCTAATTAGTGCAATTTTTTACAAATATAATCAATTTGAGTTTTCCACGACATATCATTGTCTATAAGTAGTCCCAAAATTTTTTTAACCTTTGTTTCTTTTACGTCTTGACCCATATATTTGATGTGTAGATTTATTGAGGTGTTTTTTTTAAATTTGAAATGTCATTATTTTCGTTTTGTCCAGATTAATTTTTAGGTTGTTTTCTTTCAACCAGTCAATAATTGATATAAGTCACTTATTAATTTCACCTTCTATTTCATTATAGTTATTACTGTTGTAAATTACAGTGCTGTCATCGGCAAATAACGACATTTGGTGTCTTGTACAATTTGGAAAGTTATTTATATAAATGATAAATAGGAGAGGGGCAAGTACTCCACCTTGAGGAACTCCGTATTTAATCAATTGTGTATCAGAAGAGTATATTTTTTCAATTTTCGACTTGATATCTATTCGGGTAATTTGTGTTATTTGTTTTCTGTCTTTTAAATAAGATTTCATTAGACTATGCACATTTCCCCTAACTCTATAGATGTATAATTTGTCTAGTAGTAGATTATGATCTACATAATCGAAGGCCTTAGTCATATCCATATACATTGCCACAGCTGGTTTCTTACTATCCATGTTCTGGTATATTTTCTCCAGAAAGTTGTAGATAGCCATATTGGTATTTTTGTTTTTTCTGAAGCCCATTTGTTCTTGGCATAGAAACTTGGTATAAAATTATATATATGTATATTCTTGTATTGAAGCCACGTAATTTGACCTAACCATGATTTCTTGTAGATAGGTAATTTATCGTTATATATAGTATCTCTAGTCGGTAAAAGATTCCTATCAGCTCCCTTATAAAATATTTCAGGAATTGTTTTATCAAGAATCCTACTCCTCTATGACCTGTCGTTTCTATTTTTTGAATAAAATATAATCTTTATGTTCTTCTATTTTCTCATCTCAGCCGTGTAGTGGCGGTTGAGAATATCCACTACCCCATATCTTCCCGTGGGTGTCGTAAGAGGCGACAGAGGGAGACAGGCAGGAGATGGGCAGCAGCATCTTCCTGATAACAACAATAACATAATAAAAAACTGCGGTTGCCAACCCGCTCGCCAAGCGTGGCAACTATGGCAAATATGGCCATGAGCAACGACGTAAATAAACGGCCCCCAGTCCCCGGCGGCCCCGCTATTCCTGGCTACGGTGGAGACCATGGCAACAGCGGGGCAGGGGGCGCTAAGAATCTCCGGTGGAGGTTCGGTTGTCACCTACGACGACTCGACCTGGCAACGTATAACGCACGCACCCTGAGGACTGACGAGAAGATACTGGAGCTGGAGGAAGTAAGAGGTAGACAAGTTGCGCTGGGATATTATTGGATTATCTGAGGTCCGAAGAGAGGGGGAGGACACGGTAATCCTCGAGTCCGGCAACTTGTTCTATCATCGGGAGGGCGACCATCTGTCCCAAGGAGGTGTCGGATTTATCGTCCACAAGTCTCTCGTCAACAACGTTGTAAAGATTGGGAGTGTGTCGACGAGAGTCGAGTACCTGATACTCAGAATCACCAAACGGCATTCGCTGAAGGTCATACAGGTCTACGCACCAACCTCGGCACATCCCGATGAGGAGGTGGAGGAAATGTATGAGGATATTTCTAGAGCCATGCATTCCTCCAAAACCCACTACACGGTGTTGATGGGAGACTTCAACGCAAAACTAGGCACAAGAGAAGGTGGTGAGCTGAATTTAGGGAAATTTGGAGTAGGGCAACGGAACCGTAGGGGCCAGCAGCTGGCTAACTTTATGGAGAAAGAGGGACTCTTTATGATGAACTCTTTCTTCCAGAAGCGGCCCCACAGGAAGTGAACCTGGTCGAGCTCCGACGGTTCGACAAAAAATGAGATTGACTTCATTATGACGACCAGACGCCAACTGTTCAGTGATGTCTCAGTGATCGCAAGGGTGAAAACCGGCAGCGATCACCGAATGGTTAGAGGCACACTGAACCTACACGTTAAGTTGGAGAGGTCTCGTCTAATTAAGTCAACGCTCCGTCCCCCTCGTACTCCAATCCAGAATCCCGAGACTTTTCAGTTCAAGTTACGTAACCGCTTTCAGTGCCTAGAAGATTGCAATGCAGTGGACGATATGAATGAGAAGCTCGTGGAAACTGTCCATGCGGTTGGAGCTAAGTTCTACAAGACCCGCCGCAGAAGAACACAAAAACTCTCCAGTCACACTCTTAATCTCATAGTTGTTAGACGGGAGATGAGGCTGCAATCGTCAACAGATTTGACAGCATACAAGCAACTGAACAGACAGATCTCCTATGAGGACGCTCAAGGTCGCTCAGCGAGCTATGGAGAGGGCTATGCTCGGAGTTTCTCCGCGTGATAGACTCAGAAATGAGGATATCCGCAGTAAAACCAGAGTGACCGACATAGCCCAACGGATTAGTAAGCTGAAGTGGCAATGGGCCGGCCATATAGCTCGAAGAACCGATAACCGATGGGGAAGAAAGGTTCTCGAGTGGCAGCCTCGTACCGGTAGGCGTAGTGTAGGGCGACCCCCCACTAGATGGAGTGACGACCTGGTAAGACATACAGGAAGCCGAAGGATGCAGGTGCCTCAGGACCGTGCTTTGTGGCATTGCTTGGGGGAGGCCTATGTTCAGCAGTGGACTTGTGAAGGGCCGTAATGATGATGATGATGATGATTTTCTCATCTAATCTCCTCATCTTACCTATTCCTAATATGTCATATTTTATGTTTTATAGTGACTTTTATTATTCCATAAAGCTTTCATACATTCTTAGTGTTCTTGTGTTGAGTGTAGCAATATTAGTTGTTTCACATCTATTTGTTAGAGGGTTTGGTTTAGTTCTCCCGCGGAGTTCATCTGTACTGGGAGATATGTTGGTTGTTGTGGATTAGAGTTGTTGTAATTTTTTGGTTTTTGAACTTGTAATTATACTACTTCAATACTCAATATACTTTACAGCGATGTTTTAACACTTTACTATTAACTAAAGCTATATAATGCAGATCATAATACAAATAACTAGGGTTCAATGAAAAGCACAAGGATATTGAACAAATATGTGACGGTATGAAGTTACTTCAATTAATATCGAATACGTTTATTTTAAGATCGACACGGTTTTCAAAAAGTAAAAATAAAAGATAAGAACTACTAACAAAAAAAAAACATATTACTTACGTTTTGTACAAGGTCTGGTCCTTGATTGTTGAGGAAAACTTCGGCCTGGGTGGTTTCATCCATTAAGAAATAAATGGCTTCTCGGAACGATGTGTAGTTAAAGCGTAGTCCGTCACGCAATTTTATTGCGGTTTCCTGTAAACAAAATAAAACGTCAATAAATTTTGAGTCGAGAAAAATTAAGAATAATTTGTACAACTACTTGTCCTGCGGACCTGTTCAAATTCCAGTTTGGGCATTTTCCTTCTTATTCAATAGTTTATTAAAGACCAATGCTGAATACAGCTCTGTTCAGAACGTAAGTGAATGAGGATTAATAATCTTACGCTCCCCAGATGTCGCTAGGAGGGACCAAGGTTCACTCATTTGATACGCAGATGGTCACATTGCGATTTTATTATAAGTTTTTCGGTTTCTAGTGAATGTTTATACAAAACAAAGCCTAAGTACTGTATTAATTTTCACATTTTGATAGTAACTATATTAATTTTTAAGAAAGAAACTGTTACATTTTTTTAACAAATTAATTTCGCCACAACGTATGTTGTCAAATATTTTCCCTTATTTATAAATAACACCGCCCCGGTGACAGAAAAAGTCGTGGATGCCAGTGATGATTGACTCACTTGTATATAACTTTTCTTTAGTTGTAGAAAAAATATGTTTTATTGGCATCAATACACTGTATAATATGATATTCGTATGATAGTTTTCTTTAGCTTCTTGGCGATTTATGTTAACATAGTCTACTCTAAATTCAGCAAATACGGAGTAAAATATTTCAAGCCGACTTTACCTGCTGTTAACATGGTACGGATTATATTAAAAAGATCCGATGTCTTTGATAGTCTTATCATAATAACTTTAGAATCGCACCGTATTATTCTTATTTAAAACACTAGGAACAAACAAGCTGGTAATGCCATTGATAAAATTCACATAATTAGTAATGAAGTTATGGGACAATGTAAAATGCAAATATGTTTTATTAACGTAATCCCAGAAAATGTTTAAAGTTTGTCAATGAACAAGTTTAAAAGATTTATTAAAGAAAAATTGTATGAAATGTATATATTATGAATGAAAATATCTCCAAGAAATGATGTGATGTCACCATGGTTTTATTACAATTCGGAACAAAAATTAAACAAAATTGTTGTAAATTTATATATTTTAGAAATAATCGTGATGGGTTTGTTGCCAGTATTTTCCAGGACGTGTGTGTTTTTCCGCAGCAGAGGAAAATGAAAAAGACTGTATAATATTATGGTAACAATCTTTTTGTGTTATATATAGAATAAGAGTGAGAAACGATAGAGAACATATCATTGATACGCAGAAGAAACAGCGTTGGTGATAGCACGCAACCTTGTCGAACACCAGCATTAATGGGCTTGAAATGGGAGCTTGCACCGTCTACAATGACCTTGATTCTCTGATCTGCAAGAAAGCTGGTGATCCAAATGCACAATTTCCCGGGAAGCCCATAGGAAGGGAGCTTCGAAAGAAATCCAAAGCCTTGTGCCAAACCCGATCGAAGGCCTTCGCAATGTCCAAACTAACGGTCAAGAATATCACCAGCTGATCGACCACGGCTAAAACCGTATTGGCGATCACTAATCAGTTGGTGATCCTCAAGGTACCTCATGAGCTGGCAGTTTACAATGGATTCCATTATTTTGGAGAATAAGGAGATGATGGCAATGGACCTGTAGTTGGACGGGTCTGAGCGGTAGCCTTTTTTAGGGATCGGGTGGACGAAAGCCGTCTTCCATAATTTTGAGACTACACCTAGAGAGTAAGAATACCGGAAAAGACGCTTTAAGACCGGTGCCAACTCTGGCGCACACGTCCTCAGCACAATTGGGGGGATAACATCAGGCCCACTCGACTTGTGGATGTCCAGGGAGAGGAGTGCTTTGCAAACCGAACGCTGTGTAAACCGCATCTTCGGCATGGAGCACTCACACCGCGAGATGGTCGGCGGCGTACTCCCCCCGTCATCGAGAGTCGAGTTGGACGCAAAGAAAGAGCCTAGCAGATCGGCTTTCTCCTTTGCGGCATAGGCCAGTGAGTCATCCTCCCTTTACAGAGATGGAAGAGATGGCTGACAGAAATTCCCCTGGACAGCCTTGGTGAGAGACCAGAATGCACGGGTTCCAGAAAGAAGGCGAACTAGTTTCTGGCCAATCCTGACTATGTGCTCTGACTTTGCCTTGGCAATGACTCTTTTGAAGAACCTGGAGGCGAAATTATACTTCTTTTTTAGAGCGCTGGTGTTTACATCCCGAGACGTTGATGCGCCAGCCCAGGCTTGGTAGCACTACTGCTTATAGGATACACTATATAGGAGCACTCAACAACAAACACTCCTGCTTATAGGATGATGCTATTTTACAGGAGCGACCAAGCCATGGCTGAGATTTGCCTCCGATGAGCACCACAGAGGAAGGAATAAAAAGTTCCATACCCTGAAGTACCACGTCAGCGAAAGAATCAGCAACAACGTTAGGATCGTCCGGCGAGAAGCAAACAGTGCCAAACCTGCAGAATGCAACTATGATTTCAGCGTGAGTGGCACCACACTCCGGACAAGACAATGATCCGACGACCCTAAAGGAGCGTCGACGGAAATCTGATATCCGTTTGAATGAGAGGTCAGCAGAAGGTCCAACAGTGAAGGTGTATACTCCATATCTGGAATCCGCGTAGGCGAAGTAACCAGTTGTGTCAGACCATATGCCAAGGCAAAATCATGAACAGATCTCCCCGCGTGATCGGTTAAACGTGAAACAAGTCACTGGGCGTGGTGGGCATTAAAATCGCCGAGGGGATCTGCTGTAGCAACGAATCTGTAGCCATTTGGACGTGGTCGAAGAGTCGGTCTGTTTCGGCATTACCGCTATGGGACCTATAGAGGCACCCGTAGACGCGCGGATGGTCGTCGCTGTCTACGCGTAGCCAAAGGATGGACAGGTCCAAGCCTTCGAGACTGCCGAGGCATTGAGAACAGATGTCCTCTCTGACGTATATGCAAACTCCAGCCCGAGGCACAAAGAAGTGTTCCAGTTTGTACCCCGGGTAGGAGAGATACGAGACATCAGCCGGAGAAGACACCTGCGTCTCGGTCAGAAAGAGCAAAGCCGGCATCGTCGTCTCGAGATGGTAGTGGACGGCGTTTAGGTTAGAATGAAGTCCCCTGATATTGCAGAAATTCACGGATCGCGTGGCAGGGGTCGCCTTGGTCTTGTTGCTTGGTTTTCCTCGAGCAGTTTTTGTCTTGAGCGGAATTTTGCCCCCCTCCCCCAGTGGCGTAGCTACCTTGGGGCTAGGCGGGGCAGTGCCCCGGGGCTCCCGAGCTCAAGGGGCCTCCATGAACGACGTTTGAAAAAATTGTACATATTGTTGCGCGCCTAAGTTGACGTCTGGCACTAGCGCCATCTGTGTCGGGAGCGAGGGGAGCTTTCCAGAAAATGACATCACTAATCTTTCAACCGACAGCGCCATCTAGTATCGAAACGGAGAACTAAGCTTTCTAGAAGCCGGACACTCGAACTTTCGGCGCCTAGTCGATTGGCGCGCGTATTTACTTGAATATTCTGGATGTTTCAGTGATAATGTGTATTTAAAGGCGCTGCAAGATGCGAGCGAGGAAGTATTGAATTTGGCGAGACAAGCGAAGCTTCTGAGCGGAATAAAGTGAATTAGTGTGATTAATTATTAGTATTTTAAGTTTTAATTAGTGTAAAGTGAATTAAAGTGTTAATGTCGGTAATTCAATCGGCAGTTTTTATTGTCACGAACCTCAAGCTCGTAACAATATAATATTGTAATTGAATTTAAAATGAACCGATTTTTTACTTTTTGTGCCCTGAGAAACGAACCACAAAAATTTCTTCTACCTCCAGAATATTAAACATCATTGTTAAAATGAAATCGTCTACTTAGTTTTATTGTCTAAATAGCTGTATTATTAACTGTACTCTACTTCGTCACTATTTATTTTACTAGCCCGCGACTTCGTTCACCTGGTATTGATCAACATTGAAAATTCCTTTCTTTATTAAAATGACCCTTTTTTCGGAATGAAACAGTGATGACGAGATGAAACGATGTGCTTGTGCTTTTATCCAAATCCATAAAGTAGTTTTTACGTGAAACCGTAACAAACAAGCAAACTTTCACATTTATAAAATAACTAGGAGCCCGCTCTGGCTCCAAACGGGTTCATTTCACATGTGGTGTCATTTATATTTAAAAAAAAACACTGTTCATAATAATTCAAAGATAAATATTATGGTTACGGTGAGTCAAATTTAGGAGATAAATATATTATTATTCTAGCGCGGACCTTTTTCCTTAATACATTATTTTAAAGTATCTTAGTAGTAAGACTTATAAATACCAAATATTGAACACTTTTTATTATTGAAAGTTAATAAGAATGTATTATACATACTAAACTTCCGTAAAAAAAAATCTTTAAATGGCAGTGAAAAACGTTTTTAAAATCTGTTGCGTGGTAGTTTAAAAGAAGTAGGTAAAAGGTTGTTTTAAAAATTCGAAAACTACCTATTCATTTATTTTATCAACAGAGTAGAGTACTCAACAGTCGATCACCCCGTAAAATAAAATGTATCGTACAAACTGTAACACCTTATTTCATACCCTGAGGATTTTAATTTTTCAAAATCCTATCGTAGTTAGGGCTACCAGGTCCGAAAATGAGTTTTCCTGGCAAAATCCTTAACTTTTCCTTGACGAGGAGGCAGCAAAAATATCTAATTACAAAAAACTCGTGCATGTGCTTGACATATTTTGCGCAATATTCAGCAATAAAAAGGACGAGCCAGATCATATGAATGAAACAATGTTATTGTTGAGATTGGATTTATTTATTGCATTTTTTTTTGTGATTAAACTTTTTAAAAATATTTTAATTTGTACTTTTTATATTTTTCTCTTTCTATTTATAAATTTCTAAGAGTTTCACATTTTTCCTGTTTCCCTAAAAGAGGGTTAAAATTCCGAACATGTCAGGAAAATCCCTGTCATCTGGTAACCCTAATCGTAGTTAATGCCTACGAAGTTACTAGGAAGACGCTGCTGCCCATCTCCTGTTTTGTCTCCCACTGCCGCCTCTTACGACTCCCGCGGGATGATATGAGGTAGTGGTAGGTATGCTTGCACCGCCACTACACGGTAACGCCTCTCTTACTAAAGGTTGAATATTCCGATATTCTCTCTTAGTGGATACTTACGTCATAAAAGGCAGCTACTGTAGAAATCTGTTCTATGTCTAGTTTTTTGGGATGAGCGTCATGATATAATATTTTTCATACAAACTTTGCACCCCCTTTTTAAGTCCCTTAGGATAGATTTTTGAAGAAACTAAAAATGTGAAATTTATTATTTTTAATTCCAGTATGACTTTCATATTAAAAAAAAAGTTAATATATTTTTCTCTAGTCGCTCTGTAGGTAAATGCATTATTTTTAAAATCAATCTCATTTCAAATCCGTATCCATTTATTTCACTTTTGTATAGAAGAAGGGTGACATACGAGCACACAGTTCACCTGATGGTAAATGGATGCTGTGGTCCATAGACATATATATTTATCCTCAATTAAGAATCAAAATGCAGATGCGTTGTCACCCCTGAGGACTAAGATGTAATGTCTCGTTTATAGTAAATAATGTCTCCGGTTCTCTACACTCACCATACCAAACACAGCAACATCACGCTAGTATTCTGTGAGAGCGTGGTCCTGCTTCAGTCGAGCCGACCCATTCGTGCTACAATCATAATATAGCTGCAGCGTGACTTTGACACGTAGTATACAGATTACATTTAGTAACTTTCAAGTCTATCGCCCCGTAAAATAATAAGTTTCATTCAAACTGTATCAATCACCCTATTTCATTCCCGTAGAGGTTGAATTTTCCTTTACCCTTTCTTAGTGGATGCCTACGTTATAAAAGGCAGTTACTGTCACATTTTCAGATTTCTACATATAGCGGTGTGGGCTTAGAATGGGTGAGTTAACCGTCAAATGCCTTTTTTACGCCAATGATCAAGTCATACTTGCGTCGTCGGCGACCGAGTTGCAAATAATTGTTACATTAATGAACAGGTCATTAAGAGAAAAGGGAATGAAAGTGAATGCAAGTAAGACGAAAGTTAGTGTTTTTGAAAGAGAAGAAAGTAAAAAGATATGTGAAATAAGAATAGAAGGGGAGATGGTCGAGCAAGTAGATGAGTTTGTATATTTGGGTTGTGTATTCAGCAGGGATGGGAGATATGATAGGGATATGGAACGACGAGTGAATGCAGTAAATAAAGTTAATGGGGCTCTACACTCTATTGTGAAAAGTCAGAATGTGTCAAAAAGGCACGTATTTCAATTCATAGTGCTGTATTAGTCCCTACTTTAAAAGTATGGTAGTAAAAGTTAGGTGTGGCAGAAGAACCACGAGAGTAGAATGAATGCAGTAGAAATGCGGTCACTAAGGAGTATATTAGGACTGAATCTGACTGACAAGGTGAGAAACTGTGTGATAAAAGAAGAGTGTGGTTTGCAAGATGATGCGGTGACCAGGATTAATAAAGGAATGCTTCGGTGGGTTGGTCATGTAGAAAGAATTAATGAGGAAAGACTGACAAAGCAAATATATGTTGCAGAAGTGAACGGAAGAGTCGGAAAGGGACGTTCTAGGTGATAGTTTGTCAACCAAATTGGTGATATATTAAAAATGGGCCAAATTAAGAGTACCCTTAACTGACGAGCATGTATGCGTAGGTATATGGATGTGGAGGCGGTGAGAGAGGTATGTCAGGATCGTGCTAAATGGAAGTCTGTAGTCCCTGCCTACCCCTCTGGGTGACAGGCGTGAGTGTTTATGTTTTTATATATGAGGAGGTACGATCAAATAGTATAGTATAGATTAAATAGTGTGTGCTGCGTTACACATACTACATTGTAGTTTGCACATTTAAATAATTTAGTTTAGTTCAAATAGGGCCTCAATTTCATGTTTGCCCCGGGGCCCTTGGCTGCATAGCTACGCCACTGCCCTCCTCGCAGAATACGCGGGGCAGCCTAAGCACCCACGCTCAGGAGTGGAGTAATTTGGTCGTCGATGCTCAGCGAGGGATTCTCCAGGGGTGCTGCTACCCTCCTGGTGTAGATCTTTACTTAACTCCGTTACCATGTTGAGGGGGGGGGATTGGGCCTCCGGCCACCTGCACTCACCAGACGAAACGCGGAAGCTGAGCTTCCACTTCACGCCGGTATTCTGTAAGATCATGGTACCACCCCAGTTTGAGGCGGCCCATACGTACAACAGCAAAGCTGCCGCGTGGCTCTACCATTGTTACTGTTACTGTTGTAGCTGCTGCGCCACGCGCGCGTAGTATTGTATTGTATTGTACAAGTGTAGCAGTACTGACGTTGACATCGTGCGTGTGCTGCAGCATGGGACGCACGACGTCCTGCTGCAGCGCGGCCAGCTGCTGAGCCGCGTCGGCCAGCGCGGCCGCCACGCGCGCGTAGCCAGCGCGGGCACCCAGTGAGCCCGCCGTGCTGCGCAACTGCGCCGCCAGCCCTTCCAGCTCCAGCGAAGTCATGTTTGTCTCCAGCTGCACACGCACACACACACACACACCTCTATACAATATGTAACATAATTAACGCACATCCTCAGACACCCCAATTAATATATTATGTTATAATCATAATACATACACTGAATTTTTAGTTAAACAATTTTATGCACTGATTATTTATCAAATTAGTTATACTAATTCCGGAAGAATGTTGTGGTCACAGTGCAAATCCACGAACGCAAAGACTTTAACGTGCATGAAATAAAGTTCATTCTTCTTTATTTTAATTGAATGACAGAATTAGTAATAATACAAATAATACTGCACTCTTAAAAGTCTTATTGCCTTAAGTTACGGTCCATTTCAGTTTGTTTTTACTGTACAGATTTAGTGTGACTGTAATTTACGTAGTTTTAATTATTTTTGAAATACAAAATTACCTATATTAAAAATGATAGGAATCGATTCAGTAAACGATTCTGAACAAACTACTTTCTCAAAGTGCGTTAATTATGTTACATGTTGTATATTGGACAGACGCCTATTACATTATAATAATATTTATCTTTAACTTTATACAGAATGAACCAGAAAGAATGGATATATTCTTGGAGCGCTTAATAAAACAGGTATAAAATACACAAAAAAATATATTCCAATTGGTGCCAAAAATATGAAGGTTTAAAAAATATATAAATAATAATAATATACATATAAAAAATATGTTTCGCGTTCGGAAAATTACGACACATCTTCTTGTCAGGTATACCTAAAAACCTGAAAACTAGATTGTACAACCAGTGCGTGTTGTATGGTTATTAATGTAGGCCGTATGAGGACGCTCTAGAATGCTCAAAGTCGCTCAGCGAACTATGGAAAGGGCTATGCTCAAGGTTTATCTGCGTAATAAACTTAGAAATGAGGATAACCGCAGTAGAACCAGTGTGACCAGCATAGTCCAACGGATCAGTAAGCTGAAGTGGCAATAAGCCGGCCATATAGCTCGAAGAACCAACAACCGATGGGGAAAAAAGGTTCTCGAGTGACAACCTCGTACCGGTAGGCGTAGTGTAGGGCGACCCACCACTAGATGGAGTGACGACCTGGTAAGACATGCAGGAAGTCGATGGATGCAGGTGGCTCAGGGCCGTGCTTTGTGTATACCTTGGGGGAGGCCTATGTTCAGCAGTGGACTTGTGAAGGACTGTAATGATGATGATGATGATTGACCTTACTGTACTTTCATGTACACCACTACCGCAAATTCATGAAATTCGTTGCGTTTTTGGTGTTCTCTTACAGACTCTATTACACACACTATTCTATTAAAAATGCAGTAAAGAGTATGAGTATCTATTGTACTTTTTTTGCAAAAAAAAACTTCAATGTTTAGCATGAAATTATATAAAAAATTAATTTTGACAAAATTTTGAGAGCCATTCGTGAAAAAAAATATGAAGACCTAAGTGACTAACCATTCCAAAAATATACCCAGTTAATACAGTTTACAAAATGGTATATTACTGAATTTTATTTAACGTTAAGATACAAAAATAATAAATTCAACTGAAAAAAGAAAAAAATAATCTTGTCTTAACATGTCATATTAAAAGCGTTAAGTTATACATAAATTAATATTTATTTCATAACAGGTGTTCGAATTCTTTGTCACCGATTCTGATACAAGCTCGACATATTCTAATAAATGCTCTTCGATAAAGTCGTGCGTAGCGCCGTTCAGTTATTTTTGAACCGGCCTCCTGCACAGGACTGCGCAATTCCCCAAACTTGAAATAGGCTTGAAGTACACCAGATCTTTTACAGCCCCAGTAAAAAAATCTAGTGGATTTAAGTCCAGGAATCGCGGAGGCCACAAATGGGACCTAAACGACCAGTCCATTTATTTGGATAAGAGAGATTAAATTTGGCACATGATTTTGTAAAAAATTCAAATAACTTTGTCCAGATAAGTTCCCGGGCAGTTCAAATGGACCAATGAATATTCCGTTTAGTATACCAGTCCAAAACTATATTTTGAACTGGTATTGTGATCTTTCTTTTCGCATTAGATGCAGATTTGAGAGTTACCAGCTGTGCAGATTATACATGCTAAAGTATCCGTCTTTTTAAGAGTGGATTCATCGCTCCACAGAATTTTGTCGAAGAATTATGGATCTTGTTCTATTTTTGCAAGCATTTGTCGACAAAAAAACGATGGTGCTTTGTAATCTCTCGGTTTCGTCTCGGTAGAGCTTGGATGCGTCTAATGTGGTAGGGATGAAATATTTTTTTTTTCAGTACACGGTGCACGGTCGCCTTTGAGATTCCAGTATATCGTGCTAATAAGACGTACGACATAAGATCTCTCTGTCTCGTAAATCGTAATAAATAATAGATAGGAAGCGTGGGCTACACTCAGGTAGTAAATACCGATATTATACGACCTTTACTACAATAAAAAGGACTCTCACCCAAGAACGTCTTTGTCATTTTCACCGTAAAAGAAAAGATAAGAATTGTTTTAATTTTCTATATTTGGATAAAATTATGTATTAATACCACTTTGTAAACTGTATTAACTGCGCATATTTTTGAAATAGTTGGCAACATTTTCACAAATGGCTCTCAAACTTTTGTCAAAATTATATTTTTAAAAAGGTTATGCTAAAAATTGAAGTTGTTTTTTTTTTATCAAAAGATTACAATAGATATCTACGCATACGCATACTCTTTGCTGCATTTCTAATAGAATAGTCTGTGAGGAATAAGAGAACACCAAAAACGCAACGAATGTTATTAGTTTGCGGCAATGGTGTATATGAAAGTACAGTAAAGTCAATAAAAACATTTTTTTAAACCTTCATATTTTTAGCACAACTTGGAATATATTTTTTTTGTATTTTTATATGAGCACCTGATACCTATACTATTAGTTGCTCCAGGATTATCCATTCTTTCTGGGACACCCGATATATTTTCGGTTAGAACGACCAAATTATTCGAGTGTAAGCCGAACAAATTAATTGGTAAAACTAGCAAAACACAGAAGTAATTAAGATGAATGATAGAACTGCAAGTCTGGTCGCACGACGAACCGCAATATGCGGAAACAGCACTCACCGCCTGCAGCACGCGCTCGAACTGGAAGTCGGAGAGGCCGGCGTCGGCAAGGCGCTGCAAGTGCGCCCTGGCGGCGGGCCGCAGGATGCGCACGTCCCGCGGCAGCGACGCGCGCAGCGCTGCGGCGCGCTCCGCTACGCCGCTCGACACCTGCTCCGGCAGCGAGTCCAGCTCGTAAATGCGCCACAGCTCCAACGTCTGTGCCACAGAAGCTCAACATATATTATATTCAATTATTATATATTAAAATAAAACCTCACTCAGTGTAGGGTTCCGTAGTTTCCCGTCCGTCACAATAAGTATTCCCACTTATGAGTTTAAAGGTGGGTATCCATTATGTTCGCGCTCCAGCAGCGCTCCGCGCCTGCAACTGCTCCCGGTAGTGGGTACTGTTGTTTCCATCCAAGTTCAAAATGATTTTCCTAGAAAGTCCTTATAAAGTTCTACTTTTCAGATTTTTTTCATATTTTCTAAACTTACGGTTCAAAAGTTAGAGGGGGGGACACATTGTTTTTTACTTTTGGAGCGATTATTTCCGAAATTATTGACATTATCAAAAAATGATTTTAGTAAACCACTATTCATTTTTAAATACCTTTCCAACAATATATCACACGTTAGGGTTGAAATTAAAAAAAAATCACTTCCCATTTTACATATATATATATTACAATTTTTATTTTACCACTTTGTCGGCGTGATTGGTACACATATTGGTACCAAATTTCAGCTTTCTAGTGCTAACGGTCACAGAGATTAAGCGAGGACAGACAGACGGACAGACAGACATGGCGAAACTATAAGGGTTCCTAGTTGACTACGGAACCCTAAAAACATCAGTTCCAGAACCGATGCCAAATAATAAACTCTTTGCGACTACTAGCAACCTAACTTACACTACTTACTATATAAGATATATACTTATAAAAATAAGTTAAAAAAAATAAGTTAAAGTAGTAATTAAACGCGATAAAATCCCTAAATATAGTTTCATTCAATGTGTAGTGTTCGCGTAAATTTAAGAAATCACTAACTTACATTGTTTGAATCAGCACCGTTATGTACTTAACCTATCAAATCAAAATAAAAAATATAATCATATTTTGCACTTAGTACGTCACATTACGACTACGAACAAGAAAGTTAGTGTTTTCTTGCACACTATAATAATTAATAAAGATTGAAAATGAAAGAACTGAAATGTATGCTTTTATTCGCCTGTCCATAAATTTTACATCAGCCAAAAAATTATTTATGATTTAATACAGAACAAATAAATCAAAAAGGAAATGCGATTTTCAAGGAAAACCATATTTCAAATACTAAAACTATCTTGATGGTCTAACCCAGAGATAAGAAAACTTTTTCCTTCACGTGGCAATATTTACTAACGAAATATAAGACAGACCAAATTGTTGCATATTTGGCTATATTATTTACTGAAATAAAATATTGATAGGTATTTTCTAAAACATTCATTTATTGTGCAATATAAATAACCATTGAAATATGAAATAATTTGCAAATTGCAATTAAATTAAACTAATAAGTTAACTACGAAGTAGAAGGGTTGACGAACGCTGGTGTTTGTGGGAACATGAGACATGAGGAACTAATTTTGTTTCTGCATGATGTCATCATTATCCAGATCCATTTGTGATGCGGGCTGGATTTCAATGCTTCGCGGGCCGGAGATAGCTCACAGATCGTAATTTCTCCATCCATGGTCTTGCCTATTTTTTTAATTCATATCTTTGGTGTTTCTATAATATATAAAATCAATCAATTCAAACTACTTGTTAATTAAAGTGTTGAAGTACTATAAAAACTTCGTTTCTATCCAACTCACCAGCTTAGATCACGGATGAAGATAACTTTCCTATCTTGTTTACATTGGCTTACATACAGGGTTGGCCACAGAATAAAATAAGATATGATTTAAATTTATTAATGAATACTTTGTCGTGTAACAATTATTTAAATTTGACATTTAATTGTAATAATTATACTAATAGCGTTAATTTAATAGACATTAATAATTTAACTAAGAAATTTTTGACTACAGATAGGTATTACCTATCCAAATATAATTTAAGACAGATAGCAAATGTGCTATCATATTATTTATATATTAACTCAGCCAAGGACTTGGCTACCCAGACATCTGCTCCTATTGAGCAGCATAATGATGTGACATGCAATTTGGAATCCGTTCCAAGTAATTTAAATTAGAAAATGAGACAATAGAGGTAACCTCTAGCAGTTATAATAATTTAAATAATTCAGAATGTAGCTTACAAATCCTTAATAGTTGCAATTGTATAACTCCACAAAATGATAATAAAAATTGTTTACACCTGTTGCATCAGAATATACAAGGCATGATAGCCAAAGAGCTAGAAACTGAATTGTTCTTAAATAGCAACAATATTCATATTTTATGTATTACTGAACATTGGTTAAAAACTCATAATTTAATGTTTAACTTCAGTAATCACCAGGTAGTTCAGTTCTTTCAATAGAGAAACGGTTTTAAGAGGTGGCTCCTTAATTTTAGTTAGTAAATTATTATCATGTAAAGAACGTAAAGATATTGTGAGCCTCTCTGTTGAGCGAACTGTAGAAATGGTATGTGTTGAGTTTGAGTACCTCATTGTTGTGAGCGTTTACAGACCCCCATGTTCTTTATATGATACTTTTGAAAAAATTTTGGAGGAAGTTTTTGCTAAGCTTAATAAACAGAATAATCTTTGCAATATGTGGAGATTTTAATATCAATCTCCTAGAAGCTACCTCCAACAATATTAAACTAAGATCATTGTTTAAATCTAATGGTCTTTTTAATTTATTTTTGGAGCCAACGCGTATTGTTGAATCTAGTGCAACATGTATAGATAACATTTTTACAAATGTTAAGCCGTTCAATACATGTGTTATTCAAAAATTGAGCTCTGATCACTGTGGACAATTAGATTCTTATGTTCACAAAAAAGCAAGTAAATAAAAAAGTAGTGTTTGTTCCAGTAAATGCACGTCGCTTGGAGAAGTTTAGAAGTAATATAGTAAAAAAACTTCCATCACTTTCATACCAAAATAATCCAGATTTTTTGTATGGAACATTATTTAAGCTTATTTGCAATGAATTTAATAATACTTTTACTTCTAAAACATTCTCCTTGAACAATCGCAAGGCATTTAATGAGTGGGCGACAGTAGGAATCCATAAGAGTAGACAAAGGTTATATGAACTTTACAATGAAAGGTCATATAATCCTAGCGTCGAATTTAGGGAATATGTAAAAAAATATTCCAAAAATATTTAAAAGAGTGTGCTCCATAGCCAAGTCATTGTATTTGAGCAACAAAATAAAGACGGCTTCTAATAAAATTAAAATGACATGGAGTATAATTAATACTGAAACTGGGAAGGTTAGCTCTCGTAATTCGCACTATCAGTTAAGTTTTAACAATAAATTAATTAAATCAGATCAGGACGTTGCAATGGTTTTCGAGAAATATTTTACTGATATTCCTATCTTAACCACTAAGTCACTGAATTCTTCTCCTGCCGTCGCCGAATCATTACTTAAACAAAATGTAAATGCGTGTACAAAGAATTTTACATTTCATAAAGTGTCATGAAAAGATATTCTAAAATATTTTAAGACTATTTATATGAAGAAAACCGCCGATTTGTGGGGGATTTCCGTTAAAGTTATTGCGTCTATAATAGATGCAATCGCACCTCAACTATCTATTATTTGTAATACTAGTATCAAATCTGGTGTGTTTCCTGATTTAATGAAGCATAGTAAAGTAATACCTTTATTTAAATCTGACAGTACATTGGACCCCGCTAATTTTAGACCTATTATATATATTTCTGTACTGCCAAGACTTAGTAAAATTTTTGAAAAAATTATTCTTGATCAAATGTTAAATTTTTTTAATGTAAATAATTTACTTCATAAAAATCAATTCGGTTTCACAAGGGGTCGCTCAACAACTGATGCTGGTGCTGAGCTTATTAAATATATCTTTAATGCATGGGAGAATTCACAGGATGCTTTGGGTATATTCTGTGACCTATTCAAGGCCTTCGATTGTGTTCACCATGAAACATTATTCAGGAAACTTCAACACTACGGTGTAAGAAGTGATGCTCTTAAATTAATTATTTCATATTTAAGTGACAGAACGCAAAAAGTTGTAATTAATAGTATGAGTTCTTCCGGGTCGACTGTACAAATGGGCGTGCCTCAGGGCTCAATTCTCGGCCCCTTTCTGTTTCTTGTATATATTAATGACTTACCTTACGTAGTAGGGGATAACCATGATATAGTATTATTTGCTGATGATACTTCATTAATTTTCAAATTAAAACGACAGTTATTAAATTACGACGAAGTAAATAATGCTATAGCTACGGTAGTCAATTGGTTTAATGTTAATAATTTGCATTTAAATGGAACTAAAACTAAATGTATGAAATTCGTAACTCCTAATGTCAAACATGTTAATACGAATGTAATTTTAAATGGGGAAGAACTGAGACTTGTTGATACCACCATTTTTCTTGGAATCACACTAGACGCAAAGCTTCAATGGCTCCCCCATATATCAAAACCAGCTAGCAGACTTAGTTCTGCAGCATATGCTGTAAAAAAGATTAGAACTCTTACCAGTGTTGAAACATATAGAATAGTTTACTTTAGTTATTTACATAGCATTATGTCGTATGGTATTTTGCTATGGGGACACGCGACCGACACTGAAATTATATTTATTTTACAGAAGAGGGCCATTAGAGCAATATATAATTTAAAACCAAAAGAGTCACTGAGACAAAAATTTAAGGAAATTAATATATTAACTCTGGCTTCTCAATACATTTATGAAAATGTAATGTACGTACACAAAAATAAAAGTAGTTTTGCGAAAATAAGTGATATTCATTCTGTAAATACTAGGAACAGACACAAGCTAGTAGTACCAGTTACTCGACTCCACCGAGTCGGTAATTCATTCTTGGGGCGATGTATACGCTTTTATACAAAAAAATCCCAGAAAATATACAAAATTTGTCATACGCAAAGTTCAAAAATTTTATTAAACTAAGTTTGTATAAAAAGGGTTATTATAATATTAAGGAATTTATGGATGATAATAACCCCTGGGAAGGGTGATCGCTACCAAGCTATTTCTAATTTGTCTTGTGTTATTAATTGTAAACATGATTGTAAGCTATTATTTGGAGAAAAAAATTAGTCCCACTGGTTTTTTGCTGGTTCTTCCCAGGACAGAGGTTTTTTGCGAACCAGTGGTAAATGAAAAAATTGACTTTCAATAAGTATTGTTTATAATCTACATTGAATAAAAAAGTTTCTGTTTCTGTTTCTTTTAATGTTATAGGCGATTTTAACAAGACCACTTTTGTAGGTTATTAATGTCTAATTAATTTTAATTCAAAAACCCAATTATACCCGATTACTTAATTATAAATAAAAAATACTTACCTCAAACATACAACAGGCCTTTTCTCTGGTTCAATTGACCTTCTAAGTCTTGGGTTTTTCATAGAGAGATATGGTTTTAGTGTAATATATAGCAATTCTTGAAATTTCTAGTATGTTAAATGCAAATATCTGAGAAATCGTTGATTCTCTTCTTCCTTTGCCTATTTTTCAATAGCTATTCGAGTGATCAATGTCACTGTACCGTTTCACGCCAGTGGTTGAAAAAAACTGTAAAACTTGTTGGAATACAAAAGAATTGCGTACGGCACGAGCGGCGCGTACGTGCAAATGTGCGAGGTCGCGTAGGTACGGATACATTGATTTATATATTATGCTAGATAAGTATTTGACGCGCGAAATCGTTGCCACTGCACTTATTTCCACAGCCATATATTGCTATCGTCAGTTCAGTGTTCAGTGTGACGCCGACAGAGTAGAGCCGAACGATCCGCGACAAAAAATGGGTAAATACGTAGTGAAAGAATGCGATTCAGGGTCACAAAAACATAATAAATCCAGCGGAATCACTTTTTACACGTAAGTTTTAGTTTATGTTTTAGCACGCGTAGAATGACTTCACTTGTAAAACGACTCAAGCTGAATCTTCTACGCTCTGCACCTACACTGAACTTTATACTGCACAAACGAGTGGGAGGGTTTCTCGATATACCCTCAAGTTCAACTCAGTCACTAGATCCAACCGGCATTTTATAGATACGCGTACATATATTTTATATTAATTATAATTTATTACCTATTTTATATTGCTTGATTTGAGTACAAAAAAATAATAAAAAATTTTTATTTCATCAATTATGTAACTTTTATTCATCTGATAAGAAAATTTTTTTTTTAGATAAAAACAATAACTGCAGCTTACAAAAATTCCTTTTTATTGCTTATTTTGGGTAAAATTTCATATAGTAACCACATCAACCCGCCATTGCATGTTTGTTTGTCTATCTTTATCTAATCTTAACGACGGTATTGTTTTCGTAACTTGTGTAAGTGAGACATATATATGTTTATTTAAAATGTTTCGTAATTTCAAAGCTACGTCGTCGCGGCTGGATAATGGTTACACTTTTTTCGACGCGCGGTAATGTGGTTTGCTCCTCTAGTTTTGGTTTAACTCAATATGCGGATAAGTGTGCGTTTAACTTTATGGGTAGTTCGTGCTGGTCAAATATGCATACAAGTTAAGAAATGTTCGGCAAGTATATAAGATAAGCAAAGACACAAGACTGACCTCGTAGATGGTGCGGTTGTCGTGGCAGCGCAGCAGCACGGCGGTGAGGTTGAAGTCGGGGTCGCGGCGCTCGTTGAACAGCGCGCGCTCCAGCTCCACGAAGCGCTCCACGTCCGCGAACACGCGGCTGCCACGCGGCTCGCTGCCACAACGTTTGCTCTCAATGCAACATCAGCTCCAACAGCCAGACAAACACAAAGCCTCCCCATAAAGTGCCTCACAAGAGAAATTTTTCCACTTGCCAGGCGGGTTGGCAATCACAGCTTGTTTAATTTTGTGTTGTTATCGGGAAGATGTTGCTGCCCATTTCCTTTCTCAGTTTCCCTCTGTGGCCTACTACGACATCCACTGGACAATATAGGGCAGTGGATATTCTTAAAACAGTTGTATGCTTGGGTTGGGATTTAATTTTATTTATTATAGGATCCCAAGCAGATGGTAACACCCAGCCATCTTCTCTATTGAAATTAGGATGTTTTTTGATTTCAATAGCCTCGCGAATCATCTTTGGAAGGAATCGGTGTTCTTTAGCGAGGATCTGCGGTCTATCAAATCTGATGTAGTGACGGGGGCGATCCTGTACGTGTTCACAGACTGCAGACTTCCCGGAGCGTCGATTCTTCACATCAGCTATATGTTCCTACATGTCCCTCTGCAAGATGCAGGAGTGTACAAGCTTGATTGTGAATGTGGTCTCTCCTATATCGGACAAACTAAAAGATCAATAAAAACCCGCGTTAAAGAACATATAGCTGATGTGAAGAATCGACGCTCCGGGAAGTCTGCAGTCTGTGAACACGTACAGTATCGCCCCCGTCACTACATCAGATTTGATAGACCACAAATCCTCGCTAAAGAACACCGATTCCTTCCAAAGATGATTCGCGAGGCTATTGAAATCAAAAAACATCCTAATTTCAATAGAGAAGATGGCTGGGTGCTACCATCTGCTTGGGATCCTATAATAAATAAAAATTAAATCCCAACCCAAGCATACAACTGCAAGACTTCAAGATACCATAAGTTCATACTGCATAGATCGGAACAAAAGTTAAATTTTAATCTATGGTAACCGCGGTTAACTATGACATATGGACGTTGAACATCTCAGTCCCGCCCGTGACCATGAGTGCTGTAAAGCGTTCGAAACGTCGGGTATTTAAAAAGTTAAATATACGCGATAAATTCCGTAAAAACTAGTATTATTTCAACCGTTTATTATATCATGTTACAAAAAATATACACGTTTTTAGGATAAAATATAGCCCATATCATTCCTGGTATTATTCTCTATATGTTCGTTAAGTTTTATCACCATCAATCCCGCCTATATGAAGATACACCCAAAAATAAAACGAACGAAAACTTGACAACAAAAATGCTAACAGCCTATACAGTGTGGGAAAAAGAAATACAGCGCGATTTAACTTGACTGTGGCGCCATCTAGTACAAATTTATGGAACTATTGTTATCAAGTGACCAAAAACATCACCCGCCAAGGACATCGAAATATCCTTCAAAAATATACAATCTGTAAATTTAGTTGTACATTCATATGAAAATTAAAAGTAACAGTCATTAAGTGTAAATAAACAGCCATTAATAAATTAATTTGGAAAGTATCACACTTTAGTAATTGGTCTCTTAACAATAGAATTTTTGCACTTCAGCGATATCACTCTCACTAAATTGTCTTCTTCCAAGTGAGTTTCTACCACCCTTAGCAGTGACCATTTAGAAAGTGGCAAGTTGTCATCTCTTAACAGAACTAGATCTTTCTTCTCAAAATTTGGTTTCTTAGTCATCCATTTTGAACGTCGTTGCAAACGTAATAAATATGCACTCGACAATCTTTTCCAGAAGTCTTGTAATAGTCTCTGGGTTAGTCGCCATCGAATTAGTCGATTAACATTTAAATTTAAGTAGCTGTCCTCTGGAACAATAGTTGCAGATTCATTTAGGAGAAAATGTCCAGGGGTCAATGGCAAGATAACTGTCGGATCATCACTCGTGGGAAAAATGGTCGCGAGTTTAAACAGGCCTCGATCTGTGAGGTCACTTAATAAGTATATATAATAAGAGGTTAATGTTCCCAAGAATAGGTTTCAAGTGAAATTTATATATTGATATCACTCCAGCTTCCCACAATCCGCCAAAGTGTCGAGCTGGAGGTGGGATATGATGCCATATAGTTTTGTCGTTAGACAGGATATTCTTAATCTCTGATTCTAACGGTACTCTTTTCGGTATTCTTATCAAATAATTTTCTTAATTCTTTATTTCCAGCGCTTAGATTCGTACCATTATCGCTCCATATATTCAAGCAGCATCATTGACTAGCGACGAAGCGCTTGAATGTCGCGATAAAGTCTTGAGTGTTTAAAGATGTAACAATTTCGATATGTATGGCCTTGGTGACCATACAAATGAATATGGCAATGTAACCTTTTTGTGTTGTGCAACCTCTACCTTTGAAGAGTCTCAAATCAATTGGTCCTGCGAAATCTACTCCGCTGTTCAGAAAAGGTTTACAAGGTGTTACACGAGCATCTGATTACGACCCCATCGTCTGGTTTCTAGCACTGACTCGGAATCTAGCACAATTTATGCACTGATTGACTACTTGTCGAACGCATGAACTATCCAGTATCGTCTACGGAAGTTACTCAAAAGCATCGTTGGACCGCCAAGTGAGGTATGTATGTGATAATCAGTAAGTATTAATTTGGTAAATGCATGATCTCCAGGTAAGATTATTTAGTGTTTAGTTTAATTAGGTAAGTCACTTTTTTGTAGTCTTCCTCCTACTCTAAGAATTCCTTTTTCATCTAGAAAAACATTTAGACTGCGAAGTTTACTTTCCTTTTAAACATGTGTATTTGTAAATATTCTGTCAATCTCATCTCCAAATCCTTCCTTTTGACGTAGATCATACATACTTCTCTTGATTTATTTATGTACCCGTATAATGTTTTTTCCTTTAATTTCTCTCTTGTAAAAAAATCGTAGTATGTATGCTATTACTGGAAGTAGTTTAGTTAAATTTGAACATCTTCTTAATAATCCAAAGTCTTCATTTTCTGTTATTGTATTTTTGAAAACATTAATCTTTCTTTTTTTCCAGGTTCAACGTGTTCTCTTTTAATTGGTTGTAGGTAATATTTTCCTTCAGAAGTTCCTGAGGTCCCGTCCACCATATAGTGTTAACACACTTTATTTATATACCCCCTACCTATACACTATACTACAGACTTGCTATTTTATCTCTCTCTCTTTCATGGTTTGTGTGTTTTGGGTTGAATCATCGTTGAAATAATACTAGTTTTTACGGAATTTATCGCGTATATTTAACTTTTTAATTACCCGACGTTTCGAACGCTTTACAGCACTCATGGTCACGGGCAGGACTGAGATGTTCAACGTATAATAAATAAAATTAAATCCCAACCCAAGCATACAACTGCAAGACTTCAAGATACCATAAGTTCATACTGCATAGATCGGAACAAAAGTTAAATTTTAATCTATGGTAACCGCGGTTAACTATGACATCTGGACGTTGAACATCTCAGTCCTGCCCGTGACCATGAGTGCTGTAAAGCGTTCGAAACGTCGGGTAATTAAAAAGTTAAATATACGCGATAAATTCCGTAAAAACTAGTATTATTTCAATGTGTAGTGTTCGCGTAAATATAAGAAATCATTTGAATCATCGTGTTTGATAACATCACTTGAATTTGACAATAAGCGACTTGAATTTGACATCGCTTGAATAAAACTGCTAATGTCACTTAATTTCGACAACGTTACCATGGACGTTAGAGAACAGGAGAACGATCACTACGTGCTAAAGCATTAACCCGCCTGTCCCTGAACATTTGTAGAATTTATAGCGGCGCTGCCGTCGGTAAGTAGTATCTGCAAAGTTAGCTGTTTATAAATATAATATAATAATATAGTAAAAATTTAATCGAAAATAATCGTGTTCCGTATTTTTTTATTTTATAAAAATAAATAATAATAAAACAATAATAATTAATAATTCATATTTGTAATAATTAGAAAAACATAATTTATTTATTATTAAATAATAATAATCATTTTGTTATTTTCTTTTTTTTTTCTTTGAATGATATTATACACGTATATTAAACGTTGATAGATCATTTCAAACTAGGGCACAACAGCCCGCTTTTATTTAAAAAACTGAGCGATCGCAGCGCCTCCCTTATTTTGTCCATATTTTTCTCTAAACTTCATGAACGTTATTGAGGTGACAACGTCACTTGAACTTGACAGTAAAGGTCACTTTGACAGTTATTGTCACTTGATTTTGACAACGTTTCTAGTTCGGCAACTAGCGTCACTTATTTTGACAAACTCACTAGTTTGACAACGTCACTGAACCTTGACAGCAAACGTCACTTTGACAGTTAATGTCGCTGAAAATATTTCACTCACGTACTATTTGTTACTCACACATTACTTGTACTGGTTACTTAGACGATTCCTACAACTACCTGTCTAAATCGCGAAACGGCTCGGCAGGACCATGTCCCGCCTAATTGACGTTTACCCAAAAACAAAACGAACAAGTTCGAAAAATAAGGTATTTATTCAACCCCGCATAACTTGATAAAAAATGCTAACAGCCTATACATTGGGTAGGAAAAATAAATAAAGCGCGATTTAACTTGACTGTGGCGCCATCTACTACAAATTTATAGAACTATTGTTATCAAGTTACCGTAGACAGAGAAACTTATAGACTAATGATTAGCATGGCCTCGAGTGAGAAAGGACGATAACGTAGTTTTAGGTCATACAATAATCTTTATGACTTTTAAACACATTTAGATAAAAAATTTAATTGTTCTAAGAACTGAACTGAACAAGATTCACCAATCTTAAGCTTACAAAACTTTTTTCTCACTTAAACGCTACGAACTGTCAAAGTTGTTTAGCAAAGTGTAGTTTGCTAAACAACAAAAACCAGCACGGAGAAAGGGACAAACAATCACACTGCTCTGTCTCATTTCTATACAAGACATATGCATAAATCTATCTTTATCGTGTGCGAATGCGAAAGAAGGTGTCAATTTCTCTATAGGTATCTCTGTCTACGCAAGTTACACATATACCATCGGTTTAGCTATTCTGAAGATTATTCGGAGAGACAGCCAGACAAAATGACAAACAGACAAACAAACATAAATTTAAAGATAGATATTTATGTCTTCATAAAATGTAAATAACATCCCGAGCTTAAACGAAACCAGTAATTTCAACAAAGCAGACAAACACTCAATATTATTTATAATATATTATAGATAAGCACTTACGTAAGCGGATCGCAAACTAAACGTTGAGTGGCGACGCCAACCACGAAGTAAACCATCATCACCACCGTTATAACCCCACCAACTAGGAACATAACCGCCATGCCACTGAAAAAACATTGTTGAAATTAAACATTACACCATGAATTAATACTCGCGCAGATAAATAATAAATGGTATCCATCTATGTAGCCCTATTCTCACAACCGTCGATAACAACCACAGAAAAGTAGTGTCATATATGCTTTGTGATAAGCGTTTTGAGCTACCAAGTAATAAAACATAAACGTTCTATATATTTTTGATTTAATTATTTTTTATAATTTATTAAACGAACTTTTAATTATTAAATTACCAAAAATAAATATTATTTGTTATTCGATTTGCACCCCTATTTAAAATTCAGTAAATAATCTAAGTACACAATTCAACAGTATAGAAAAAAGACCCATACAGATAGATATTTAAACGGTGATTCTCACCACCATCCTTCACAGTTAGCTACCGTGGGTAAATCTTTGTTTCAGAGAGCACGAGGGATCTGTGACAGTAAACACCTGGCTGCAGAGCTCCACCATGTCAAGCAAGTTTTGCATGACAACAAGCTTCGAGTCCCGCGCCTATGTCACAGTGAACGAGTGAAGCCGGCCACAGTCGAGCGTGTACCTGCTGTACTGCCATATGTTAGAGGAGTCACTGACAAGATTGGCTACATCTTGAAGCGCGCTTCCATCAAAACATACTTCAAGCCGCTGAAGAAGATTGGTCAGTTTTTACCATCGGTCAAGTGTAATGTCCCTCTGCAAGATGCAGGAGTGTACAAGCTTGATTGTGAATGTGGTCTCTCCTACATAGGACAAACTAAAAGATCAATAAAAACCCGCGTTAAAGAACATATAGCTGATGTGAAGAATCGACGCTCAGTCTGCATCTGTGAACACGTACAGGATCGCCCCCGTCACTACATCAGATTTGATAGACCGCAGATCCTCGCTAAAGAACACCGATTCCTTCCAAGGATGATTCGCGAGGCTATTGAAATCAAAAAACATCCTAATTTCAATAGAGAAGATGGCTGGGTGCTGCCATCTGCTTGGGATCCTATAATAAATAAAATTAAATCCCAACCCAAGCATACAACTGCAAGACTTCAAGATACCATAAGTTCATACTGCATAGATCGGAACAAAAGTTAAATTTTAATCTACGGTAACCGCGGTTAACTATGACATATGGACGTTGAACATCTCAGTCCTGCCCGTGACCATGAGTGCTGTAAAGCGTTCGAAACGTCGGGTTTTTAAAAAGTTAAAATATACGCGATAAATTCGGTAAAAACTAGTATTATTTCAATGTGTAGTGTTCGCGTAAATATAAGAAATACTAATTAGTTTTTAAAATAAAAGTTTCCAAATGCTTCGAACGAATAAACTATTACAACGTTTAAATTAATATAATATTGCTATTTGTAATATTACGATATAATTATAGAATACTATAATACAGAATAGAATGGCTATCAAACTTATGTTGTACGAGGATCCACTTCGCCGGGAGCACACATACAAGCAATTACGTCGTATTATCACTACTACAAACCTGATTCGCTGTGTTGACAGACTGAGCGAATATACACATTTTAGACTTTTAATTAATGTTCAAGATCACCATCAAAAAATAAATAGTTTAAATTTTAACACATATTTATTAGTAAATAGTGTGCAAACTAATCGTAAATACAGTCGCAGTAATTATAATTAAGATGCGTCGCATCATATTGGTCTGTATATTGAAGCAATCTGCAGTACAGAAACAGAAACAGAAACAGGAACAGGAACAGAAACAGAAACAGAAACAGAAACAGAAACAGAAACAGAAACAGAAACAGAAACAGAAACAGAAACAGAAACAGAAACAGAAACAGGTACAGAAACGGAAACAGAAACAGAAACAGGAACAGGAACAGGAACAGAAACAGAAACAGGAACAGAAACAGAAACAGGAACAGGAACAGGAACAGGAACAGAAACAGAAACAGAAACAGAAACTTTTTTTATAAAATGTAGATTATAACAATACTTATCGAAAGTCAATTTTTTCATTTACCACTGGTTCGCAAAAAAAACCTCTGTCCTGAGAAGAACCAGCAAGAAACCCAGCGGGACTATTTTTTTTCAATAATAGCTTACAATCATGTTCACAATTAACAAAACAAGACAAATTAGAAATAGCTTGGTAGAGATCACCCTTCCCAGGGGTTATTATCATCCATAAATTCCTCAAAATTTTAATAACCCTTTTTATACAAACTTAATTTAATAACATTTTCGAACTTTGTGTATGACAAATTTTGTATATTTTCTGGGATTTTGTTGTATAAAAGCGTATACATCGCCCCAAGAATGAATTACCGACTCGGTGGAGTCGAGTAACTGGTACTACCAGCTTGTGTCTGCTCCTAGTATTTACAGAATGAATATCACTTATTTTCGCTACTTTTATTTTTGTGTACGTACATTACATTTTCATAAATGTATTGAGAAGCCAGAGTTAATATATTAATTTCCTTAAATTTTTATCTCAGTGACTCTTTTGGGTTTAAATTATATATTATTGCTCTTATGGCCCTCTTCTGTAAAATAAATATAATTTCACACATAATGCTATGGAAATAACTAAAGTAAACTATTCTATATGTTTCAACACTGGTAAGAGTTCTAATCTTTTTTACAGCATATGCTGCAGAACTAAGTCTACTAGCTAGTTTTGATATATGGGGGAGCCATTGAAGCTTTGCGTCTAGTGTGATTCCAAGAAAAATGGTGGTATCAACAAAACTCAGTTCCTCCCCATTTAAAATTACATTAGTATTGACATGTTTAACATTAGGAGTTACGAATTTCATACATTTAGTTTTAGTTCCATTCAAATACAAATTATTAACATTAAACCAATTAACAAACTTAGTTATAGCATTATTTACTTTTTTAGTATATCTAGTATGTAATGGTATCACCGCTAGGGACGTAGTCTTGTTTAGTGACTTACCGGTAACCGGTAAGCACCGGTAAAACTTGAGTGTATTTATTTTGAAATATTTTCATATCACTTTTTGTTAGTAATTTTATACAATTTTATACAAAAAGATAAATATTAAAGTATTTACTTTGTAATAGTGCAATGAAAAAAAATTTGTATGTTCCAAATACACGATTCTATGTAAATTTTTCGATTAAAAAATCAAAATTTTTACTTCAAGAAATATAAGACATAATTTGCTGCCAAAATGTATTAAAGATAGATAAATAGAGTTATTCAGAATCATGTATATGAGAAATCCATACCTTACTATTATAATTCGAATGTCTGCATCAGGCTTTTATGGCTAAACCGTTGAATCTATTTTGATAAAATTGAGATAGTTTAATACCTGGTTAAGTCAAAAATTGATATCACAAAACGCTAAGTAGACTGTAAATGCTACATTAGTTTAGTCGTTATTAGCCAATTTAGATAAAAACTGTGAAATGGATATAAAACTTTTTATAAGAAATGCTAAGCCATTCAACTAGTTTTTGACGAGATTTGGTATTCACATAGCTAAGAAAGATTAAAAAGGCTTATCCTCAAAGTGATAACGTGGTATGACTGAATTCCACGCGGACGAAAACGTATTCGTAAACTTCTTTGAATTAGTATTTCTTTATTATTTAATATCTTTGAAACGTGTTGGCCAGTTTATCTACGTTAGTTAACATCCACAAATTGCAGTAGGTTGCTATGAATACAAAACTAAATAAAACTAAATGTTAGTCTATTAAGAAGGTACTTACTTCCCTTAATAAATAAAACAGTATTTACGGAATAATAAAATTTATTCAAAGCTATGCAATAGTACCATTTATAGCTTACTATATCTACTAGGCTTACTAGGCCGTAACAATTCAACCCATTCGTAAACATTAATCTATCGAGTGTGTATGTATACTATTTAAGTCCGGATCTCCACGAAAACTGCAAAAATGGTTAATGGAAATGAAAATATCAAAAAAAGTACCAATAGTAATAAATAGTACAGTATTGGTAAGCCGATATAAGGCAAGCGCGAAATCGGATGAAAAAAGTTTGAACACATATTTTTTACTTTTAACACAAAATGGGTCTATCCCTTTGTGAGTAGTGAGGCGTGAGGTGAATATATAGTATATAGTAATGAAGAAGATCGAATCTAAAAACTTTATTGCAAATTTTTTACGTTATCCTGTAGAGCGAATAAATTTACAATTTAATAAAAAATGTTAAAATTGAGTTTATTCATAGGTCATTAAATTAATATTTTCATCGTATTTTATTGTCTCTAGCTTTTCATTAAGCCAAGTACAAATTTAAAAGCGACAATATTTTCCGGCTTATCGATATTGGTAAAACTTTGTTACATCTCTAGTGCTTCCAATATCTGCTATTTTTGACACATCAATATTTCTTTATTGGTAACGTCAAAAGACATGTGTTGACATTTATACGTGTGAATTGATATGTTAGTGACATACGAGTATTAGTGGCTACACGGACTCCGCCCACTCTTCCGTTCTATTATAATATATTATTATGTTGTATTATAGTATTCTATGGATATGACGTTATAACCACCGCTTTAGATTTACGTACCGTGTATGCTGACAATACAGGTTCGGCGACCCGCAATTCCTAATCCCATTATTTATCCACACGAGTAGTATATACCGAAAATAATTTTATACAATTAATAATTTTCTTTGAATCGCACTCACCACGACAGACAGTTGGCGCCGGCACCTTTGTTGCAGCAGTCGCTGGTGGCGTATACGTCGGGACGTTTGCCGCACACGCCACAAAGCAACCCCCATGCCATCAAACAAGTTATCTGAATATAGAAAGCACTTTAATTATTATTAATTTTAAGCAGTTTATTGTAAAATATAATAATACGCGTTAACTTGTATTTATTATATTAAATTAGATTTTTAAACATAAATAGATAGATTTAATGATGTTGTTAAATAAGTTTAGCAAGGATTTTTAGATCAAAAGGTAATGACATCTATCCGTAAAAGTTGAATAGCAGTATTTTCTACAATTATATATTTTTAATGTTCATACCTAACTCGAGTGATTTATCTTTATATTGAAATTTAACTCCCAACACCAAACTGCTAGGTAAGACTCACCATTGACGATAATACGACACGTGTTTCGCCTCTACACGAGGCATCCTCTGGTGATGTTGACTCTGCGGTGGCTGACCACTAAGTTAAAAGCGTAGAGGCGAAACACGTGTCGTATCATCGTCGATGGTGTGCCTTTTCTAGCGTAGTGGTATTGGGAGTAGTGGTGATGGGAGTAGTGGTGACGGGATAAATGCATGGTATGTAGTAGTGAATATTTTTTATTTCCCTACCACACGGCTTGAAATGCAACAGCTGTATTGTAAATTGAATGAAAGTAAATTGTTTTTGGACTATTATTATTAATATATTGATAAATTGTTTTAAATAGGTACATTAGTAATTTAACGATAGAATGTTAGTATTTTTTAATACTATTAATTTTGTTTTAAAATAAAAAAATTATAATTATACACTTGGTGTCATAAAATAAAATAAATGCGTATTGTGATTACCTATATAAAGGAAAACAATTATCATGAGTGATGTGTACAAGTATAGTAGTTTCCGTTACTGATCCTAATAAAATAAATAAAGAATAAGTAAAATAATTTTTGAGTAAAATACATAGTTATAAACTTTGATTAAGCTAATTTTAAATTAAGTAAAATAAATAATTTAATAAGGGAATTTTAATTGATTTAATGTGTTTGGGTGCGTGCAAGTAAGTGTGCTAATAATGTCCGTGTGCGTGTGTACTGGTACAGCGACGGCTGGGCCGCGGAGCGCTCGGCGTGTGGATTTATGTTGGTACCAGCACGTGTACGTGTGTGTTTGTATGTGTGTGTATGTAGGGCCCGTAGCTCTCCAGCGCGCGCTGCTCATCGCCGCGCGGCGTGTGTGTGCGTGCGTTTGAGTGCGAGCGCGTGCGTGCGTGTGCTTGTGCGTGCATATGCGTGTGTGTGCGCACCAGCAGCAGCGAGGCGGCGTCGGCGCGGTCGGCATGGCGGCGGTAAGGCCCGTAGCTCTCCAGCGCGCGTTGCATCTCATCAAGGCGCGGCTTGTGTGTGTGTGTGTGTGTGTGTGTGTGTGTGTGTGTGTGTGTGTGTGGTGCGTGCGTGTGCTTGTGCAAGCGTGTGCGTGTTGTGTGTGCGCACCAGCAGCATCGCGGCAGTAGCGGCGCGGCCGGCGTGGCGGCGATAGGGCCCGTAGCTCACCAGCGCGCGCTGCAACACGTCGGCGTGCGGCGTGTGTTTGTGTGCGTGTGCGTACGTACGTGTGTGTGCACACAAGTAGCAGCAAAGCGGCGGCAGCGCGGCCGGCGTGGCGACGGTAGGGCCCGTAGCTCACCAGCGCGCGCTGCAACACGTCGGCGTGCGGCGTGTGTTTGTGTGCGTGTGCGTACGTACGTGTGTGTGCACACAAGTAGCAGCCACGCGGCGGCAGCGCGGCCGGCGTGGCGGCGGTGGGGCCCGTAGCTCTCTAGCGCGCGCTGCAACTCGTCGGCGTGCGACGTTTGTTTGTGTGCGTATGCGGGCGTGTGGTGTGTGTACGTGAGTGTGTGTGGTGGTGCGTGCGTGTGTGTGCGCACAAGCAGCAGCTACGCGGCAGCGGCGCGGCCGGCGTGGCGGCGGTAGGGCCCGTAGCTCTCTAGCGCGCGTTGCAGCACGTCGGCGTGCGACGTTTGTTTGTGTGCGTGTGCGTGCGTGCGTGTGTGTGTACGTTAGTGTGTGTGCGTGCGTGTGTGCGTGTGTACGTGCGTGTGTGTGCGCACCAGCAGCAGCGAGGCAGCGGCGGCGCGGCCGGCGTGGCGGCGGTAGGGCCCGTAGCTCTCCAGTGCGCGTTGCAGCACGTCAGCGTGCGACGTTTGTTTGTGTGCGTGTGCGTGCGTGCGTGTGTGTGTGTACGTGCGTATGTGTGCGCACCAGCAGCAGCGAGGCAGCGGCGGCGCGGCCGGCGTGGCGGCGGTAGGGCCCGTAGCTCTCCAGTGCGCGTTGCAGCACGTCAGCGTGCGACGTTTGTTTGTGTGCGTGTGCGTGCGTGCGTGTGTGTGTGTGTACGTGCGTGTGTGTGCGCACCAGCAGCAGCGAGGCAGCGGCGGCGCGGCCAGCGTGGCGGCGGTAGGGCCCGTAGCTCTCCAGTGCGCATTGCAGCACGTCAGCGTGCGACGTTTGTTTGTGTGCGTGTGCGTGCGTGCTTGTGTGTGTGTGTACGTGCGCGTGTGTGCGCACCAGCAGCAGCGAGGCAGCGGCGGCGCGGCCGGCGTGGGGGCGGTAGGGCCCGTAGCTCTCCAGTGCGCGTTGCAGCACGTCAGCGTGCGACGTTTGTTTGTGTGCGTGTGCGTGCGTGCGTGTGTGTGTGTGTGTGTACGTGCGTGTGTGTGCGCACCAGCAGCAGCGAGGCGGCGGCGGCACGGCCGGCGTGGCGGCGGTAGGGCCCGTAGCTCTCCAGTGCGCGCTGCAACTCGTCGGCGGCGCCACCGTATCGCGCGAGCCGCGCCGACGCATTGCCGGCGCGCGCGCTTACTTCGTCCGCGAGCGCGCTCAGCCGCCGCCCTGCGGCCACACAACTGCTGTCAACCACTGTCACCCCACTCTCCCCTCCGCAACATTCCTACATGTTCAACCGCGCGCACAAAGTTTAACATCATGACGTCACAGAAAATTTACTAACGGTACTGCAGGGTTAGCTCTTGTAATGGTATACAACATGAAACAATAATCCTAATTCCCGTTAACATAGTTATCAGAATCAATATTCAAACGTAGAGAAATAAATTTACTTCAAAGACTTGACTATAAAAATTGTTTTTCATTTATGTTTTTGAAAACTGTACCTTTATATGAGACGCGAATCGGTAAAGTAAAATTCTTAACAACTCTTACTCTCCGGTCAAATAAAGCTTTATATACTTTACAAATAAATTATTTTTATGGTTAATGTACTAGCTATATATGTATTTAAATATTGTCCCGATTGCCCTTCAATAGCGCAATTACCTGACCAAGAGTATGGTAGAAAGGAATATTACACCCTGCAGACCCTAACTAAATTCCCTTTACGTAGCAATTCCTAATACCTTAACCTTACCATATAAATATATATACATAAAAATAAAGTACGGAATATTTGCATCATGAGATCCAAGGTAACAGACGGACAAAGACAGGATGTCAGGGTTAGATGATGCGGTTCTCTCACTGCCAGTTAATCAGAGTCACTAAACCAGTCAAGGGTTCTAACGGCAAAAAGTGTCTTGGCCATAGTGAGAAGAAGATTTTACTGGGAGTCTCGGTGGTGTTAATGAAGACGTTGTCCAACGTTGAAAAAAGATTTTATTTAGAAATATTAAATATTACAATATACACATTTTAATACATATACAAATTCACATTTGTAGCAACAACTGTTAGTGTGCGTGAATTTTGCTAACGCAGTCACTTGACGGCTGATTTGCAATGTACAGAGCCGAACAGTCAAGTTTTTAAATTATACTTATTTTTATACGTTTATATACTGATTCTGGTAAAACACTTAACGAAAATCACAGGATTTTGACAATATCTTGTATAATGTAAGTAAAACATCACGGAGGCAAAAATTTACAATATTATACTTTAAATTTATTAAAGACTACCTAGGTACCTAGAAAATGATTGAAATCAAGGATAAAGGTAGATGAGCCCATTAATTGTTTTTGTAGTGGGATAAAACAGAGTGGACGTGTGCATACTCGTAGTGTTGGTTCATAATATTCTCTAACAGGAGTGAGAGAGCTAGGGGCGCTGGGTGCTCACCGGTCTGCGCGAGCGCATCCTGCACGGCGGGCACGTGGCGGTCCACGGAGGCGCGCAGGCCGCGCTGCAGCTCGCGGAACACGTCCAGGCCGGCCGCCACCTCCGCCGTCATGTTGCTGTCCACCAGCGCGCCCACCTCGCCCAGCAGCGCCGACACGTCCGGCATCTGCGCCACGCACACTACCTCTATACTGCTACATGGACACAACCACATCTGCGCACCACGCACACTTCTATTTATACTACTAAGGCATCTGCACACCACAAACTCTCCTATCTATATTACTAGACGACCAGTACGATATTAAATCGTTATGCAATATGTTTTTTATACGACAGGCGGCAAAACGAGCGCACGGCTCACCTGATGGTAAATGACTACCGCCGCCCATGAACAACCGCAACACCATTAGAATTGTAGATGCGTTGCCGGGCTCTTAGAAAGTAGTAAGCTCTTTTCTTGAAGGTCATTCAAACACACGGACAAGTCGTACGAGGAAGAAAACTCCAAAAAAAAAAACAAAGTGGTTGACCGCCAAACATCCACATGATATGAATGGTATCAGGAGTTTTGCCACAATGTGCGTTCGTGAAATTTACCGGCTGGAATTAATCCAAACAATTCCTTAGAGCATTCACCATGGTAGCGCTCTAAGGAATCGAGTCGATCGGAGAGTAGTCGGTCGTCGATAATTCGAGCCGCTCTGCGCTGGATGTCGTCAAGGGGAAGGAACTAGCACTACGGAGCTCCAGCCGAGAGATGGGGACAGCATTCCATGGGAGGCCGAGTCTTGTTCCATGCCGGCACACCACCAGCCCAAAGTTGCAGGAAGTGTGCCGACATGAAATACTGTCCCACTCTGCTGAGCACACTAAGCTTTACAGAGACAAATTTGGCTTTCTCTTCCAAGTGATCACGAAACTGCACAACATTCAATACTGCCTTGAAACTGAGGAGATACGCTAAAGAGGTTAATTTTAGGGATAAACGCGGAAACTTGTGTCTTCTATGGATTAAACTGGATTAGATTTAGCCGCCCCCAATCCCAGACTATGTTCAGCAAAGAGTGCCATTGCTATCGTCCGCATAGCAATGAATGTTACCGGTTAACATAATACTTAACATACACACATCTATGAGTAAGGTAGGCCAGAAGATCACCAGCTGATCGACCCCGACGAAAACCGTATTGGCGGCGATATATAGCTCGCAGTTTACACGAGGGTGACACTGAAAGTTCTTAGAACTGGCTACTTGTAAATTATATAATAAAACATAAGTTCAAATTTTGAAAACGAAACTCTTTGTCAATATTATTGTGTATGTATTTTATTAATTTGTCATTTGTTTACGATTTGGCAGCAAATTGGAAATTGTCTGTATCATGTACATGTATCTTGAATGTTTATAATAAATGGATAGACTTGAAATGAAAACTCAATATTTGGCTTTAAAAACGTCATTTTATTTTGCCTTCTGTCCAGGTATGCGCGTACAGATCGTCCGTAATGAGCTGGACATCCGACGTGCTGGAAATACATTCCTTGCAGATGGTTCAGAGGAACGTTTTCTAACGTTGTGTCGACCAAGGAACGTATCATTCGCAAATACGTTACTCCCGTCAATCGACTTTTAACCCACATTGAACCAATGATGTGGTTGTCGCGGAAACATAAACAATACGGCGTCACGCCGCAGCTAAGCACAGGTGCATAGGTGACTGAAATTAGAGCACGGGTGGCGAGCGGCCTTGCGCCTGCGACCCTGCGAAAGTGATGATTTCATTGAGCAGGCCTACGGGGCGACGAGTGCGCTACAATTTCATCGATTTTTGCCGCTCGTAATATAGGGTGCGTATGATTTAAATTTCGACAGTTTTTAACTAATTTATTTAGTTTAAAAAAAAAATTATTATTATTTTTTAGTATAGTTTTTTAGTTACATTAGTATGGAAAGTCTACTTCAAATTGGTAGTATTTATTGATAGATCATTTTCATATGTTAATGAAAAAAAATTTTTCCAGACGGTAAAAAAGTCATCGGCAGTAATACGGTATGTACTAATATTTTGCGCACTAAGTTACGCTTCATTCTCTGCAACTTCCTTTGTCGACTGCGAGCGGCGCAACAGACTAGTTCCCTATTATGCAAAGCGCGCAGTCGCACCCGCGCGATGCACAGCTGTAACACAGTTTTCGTTCAGAATCGCTGGTCTAGTAGTAAACATAGAAATCGCACCACGCACAAACTCCAAAATTGTGCTGCTATGCAGACATACTTATAATATTAAGAACACTTATAATATAAAAAAAAGACATTATATTGATTTTGTTCGCATTTACCTAGCCTTCCATAAATTCCTAATAAATCTACTGGCGTAGATCAGATTTAATATATCCTCGCAAAGATGATTCGAGAAATCATTGAAAAATACGCCAATCTCAATTAAAAAGATGACAGGGCGGCTACCATCTGCAAGTACGATTAAGTAACCCTGATGGAAATAATTTCGCAATACGTAATTCACGTACTGCAACGACGTCAAACATCTCAGGCGCTCGAAACAACAAGAATTTGAAATAAAATAAGCTAAATGAACACGAAAACATCCGTATAGTTATAATAAAAATAATTATTATTAGCACACTGACTCTTTACGGAACAATTACTTACGGTTGGGAAATACTGGTCGAGCATCTAGACCAAAGCAGCATGAAATTTTGAAATAATTACACACATTAATTTCTTCATTAGAGACAAATGAGCAGCAACTACGTTACTAATTCAATTTTTTTAAAGGATAGGGTGACAAACAAGCACACAGTCCACGTGATAGTAAGTGGTTGCTGTGGCCCATACACATCTACATCTGTCCTCGGAACTAAATGCAGATGAGTTGTCACCCGTGACGACTAAGATGGAATGCCTTTTTTCCAGTAAAAAGGGTCTCCGGTTCTCTAGACTCACCATACGAAACACAGCAGCATTACGCTGCATTTTACGCTGGTATTCTGTGAGAGCGTGGTCCTTCCCCGGTCGTGCCGACCCATATGTGCTATAACTATACTACTAATATAACTGCAGCATGGCTCTATAACGCATAATATCACATCAAAGCCTATTCAAAATCACAGCTGAATAAACGCCTCTAAAACAAGCATAGATTCTGCCTATCCAGCTTTGATTTCAACTGATAGAATCAGGCGTTACTTTGCGGAAATCCATTATAATAAAGATATTAATAGTCAATTTGCAACCATCCGCTCAATTAAATACAATGATGTGTCTTACCTAGATTGTAGAGCACCTCCCGCCCTGCTTCAAGAACGTGCACTGTCGCCATCACCACTAATTCCAACACCACTACACTAGGAAAGACACCACCGTCGATAATACACGTATTTCGCCTCCAAGCGAGGCATCCCTCTAGTGAATCTTTAATTGCTCTCTAAACTAGGTAAAACACACCATTTTTTTATTACGCCCGTCTTAGTTCATACATTTTTAACCTCTTTTATTTTTTTTTTAAATATCTAATAAGACCTATTTTTCTGTAAAATAAACATATCGATTGGTTTATTTACGTAAAATTTTTAAACTTCTATATAAATTTAAATTTAATAAATTACCTGGCTATATTGGATTTCGGTGTCAAGTTGTCCAATCTTGTACTTTTCTTTGAGCTCCCTGCACTTGGGTTGCTCACAGTCGTTTAGCGTCTGGAGCAGCAGCGCTTTCACCTTGCGGAGACCTGTATGATCAATGTTGGTATGTCATGTTAGAATTAAGAAAGCTCCGCTGGGTTACTCGCTTTTTCCTGTCGGCACAGAGGTTCTTTCGGAACCAGTTATTAAACTAAAGATTGACTTTCATATTGTCACGTTTTATTTAACGTTTATTTTAATCGATATCAACAAGTTATTACGGTACAACAATATTAATGCACACATTGCCCATCAACATAATCAACTCAATAAGAATTATTTATAATCTACATTTCAGTTTGTCTGTTTGTTGGCTGGTATGGGTAATTAAGAAGATTCACTGAGTATGAAGGCTCTTTTGCTTCTATGCATCTATCTGTATATATTGTACTACTAAGCAGCTGTGTGAGTCGGCGCAAATGTGTCCGTAACCTTCTAAACTTTGAATAAAAATGTTCAGTGGGCTATAGTAGCCAGCGCCATCAAAAGAACAACTAGAAGTTTTGATGAAAAACTTCACTTTTTGTCCGAACTGGTGGCCACCTCGTCCAACTGGAAGGGTTTAACAGCATGGTTTCATCACCAATCGTAAAGCTTGGAGGTAACTCAAAATGATGCAAGGAGATGTTGTAAATCTTTGTATTTTTATTTACATTACCAAATTTTTGGGAGATTTTGACTACAGCTTGCACCGGCAGACAGTTAATGACGACAGTATGACAAAGCGCTTAAATAGAAACACAATGTTGAGGTTCACATCACCATTGGAGCCTCCATTTTACCGCTTTGCAGCTGGTGCAGCACTTTGTGAGTAGTGGGGAGGTACTGACCGGAGTTGAGCCGCTCGGCGCCGGCGCGCAGCGAGTGCGTGCGGTCGCGCAGCAGGCGCAGCGCCTCGCGCACGGCGGGCAGCTGCTCCAGCAGCGCGCGCAGCGAGCCCAGCGCCGAGCCGCGCGACACCGCGCCCAGCCGCGCAGACATCGTGGCGCCGCTGTCTGCACGCACACGCACCACCAGCTGTACAGCGTGCACGCACCGCGCACACACTGTACAGCTGCACACGCATCGCTTGTCTCCGAAATACGCCAGTAAACAACTTTGATACGCGACTAATACTAACATTTTATTTGTTTAACAGAAGAAGGCCATTGGAGTACAATGATTTAAAACCTAAAGAGTCGCTCAGACAAAAATTTAAGAAAATTAAAATATTAACTTTGGCCTCTCAATACATTTATGAAACATACACAAAAATAAGTGATAATCACTCTATAAATACTAGAAACAAACATAAGCCAGTAGTACCAGTTACTCGACTCCACCGAGTAAGTCATAAGTAATTCATTCTTGGAACGATGAATAAGCTTTTACAACAAAATCTCATAAAATATACAAAATTTAACCTGTTCAAAGTTCAAAAATTGTAAAGTTTTTATTAAAAACGTTATTATAATTTTTATAATATTTATGGATGTGATAGTAAACTGGGAAGGGTGAACGCTACCAAATATTATTAATAGTAACATACATGATTGTAAAATGTTTTTTTTTTATTCCGATGGATTTCTTGCTAGTTCTTTGATAAAAAAAAGTGACTTTCAAAAAGTATTATTTATAACTTATATTGAATAAAAAGTTTCTGCTTCTGTTTTATGTATAATGCTCTATGCTCTAGACCCCATGATCGATACGTATTTTTGCCAGGTATATGATCATTATTAATACAAGTGTGTATAAGTATGGAGCCATAGCATCCACTTATCACCAGGTGGAGTGTGTACTAGTTAGTTACCCAAATAATTTGCCAAGAAATAATTAAAGTAACAAGATGCATCTTCATCACCATCACCTTTATTAATATCCTATCACAGTCCACTGTTGCACATAGGCCTACCCCAATGAAAGACACAAAGCCGTTCCTGAACCACCAATTTATTGCATCTACTATATTTTATTTTATTTTATTGTATGTGGTAAGCCTTAGTATAGTTAGTGAGCCATAATGTCTCCTCGAGACCCTAATCATTAATATTAATTCGAGGCGCATTTTAACCATTAACGCTTTTAAATCATGAAGTACGATTGTCAAAAGTAATTTTAAATTTAAATAATATTCCTCAAGTTTATTTATAGGGTAAGGGTGACAAACGAGCACACAGTAGACCTGACGGTTGTGTAGCCTATACACATCTACATCTATCCATGATTACGAATCAAAATGCAGATGCGTTGTCACCCATGAGGACTAAGATGGAATGCCTCGTTTCCAGTAAAAAGGGTCTCCAGTTCTCTACACTCACCATATGAAACACAGCAGCATTAAGCTGCTATTTTACGCTGGTGTTCTATGAGAGTGTGGTCTTTTCCCGGTCGAGCCGACCCATTCGGGTTACAACTATATTATTAATATAGCTGTAGCATGGCTCTACCACGTAAACCTAATATATAAGCACCTGTACTTACACAAAAATATATTTCTTTTTATATGATAAAGGTGACAAACGAGCACACAGTCCACCCAATATACTCGACTAAGAATCCCAATGCAGATACGTTGTTATCTCTGAGTACTAACATAGAATGCCTCGTTTTTAGTAAAAAGGGTCTTTGAATTTCTACACTCACCATATGAAACAAAGTTGCATTGAGTTGCTATTTCATGCTGATATTCTGTGAGATTGTGGTCCTCATTTCGGTGGAGCCGACCCGTTTGTGCTACGACTAAATGATAGCTGCAGCATGACTCTACCTTAAATATCTAATAAAATCGTTGTTAACAGAGGGAGAGGGAAGACTTACAGGTGAGCATGGCGTTGAGGCGGCGCTCGAGCTCGGCGTAGTTCTGCACGAGGAGGTGGCGCGCGTGCGCCTGCGTGGCGTTGAGGAACTCCCGTGCGTCGTGCACGCCGCGCCGGAGCGCGTCCGGCGTCTGCACGGCGCCGCTCTCCACCTGCGAGTCTGTCGCGAACGCGCACACCACGCCGAACCTGTGCCCGCAAACAAAACCTCTTTTATTTTAACTTATTATAAGCCTGTTACTGTTGTGGCGGCGCTGTCGTCGCGCCGCTAGCGAAACACACCGAAGCCCAAATCACGCTATCAAAATTCCGAATCGTGTTTAAAGAAATTTTATTTTCAAAAAAAAAAGACAAAAAAAAATGCCACTTACATGAAAATAATAATTACATTTTAGTATATTTATTCTAAATGTCGCCGAACACTCGGTCAGTAACTTCATAGCCTCAATTTAATGGTGAAAAATGTTCAATTACGTATTGTGACAGCTGAGACTTAAAACTACTAAATGAGCTTACATTTTTATGTTACAAGGCAATTTATTATAGATCTGTGCTCCTTCAAAGGTAATGCTTTTTTTTGCGTAGTTTGTTCGTACCTTTGGTTGTACAAGTAACCTATCAAATAATAAAACGTCGAATATCAAAGAATCATAAACAGTATATATAGAACATCTCCGAACTATCACACGGAGTGTCGGCCGCTCCCCGGACAGAACACCTTGCCCGGCGAGAGATCTCCCCTTTTCCTTTCACGGCCACACCGTTACAGTTTGAACATAGGCCTTCCTCACAGTTTGCCTCATAGCGGACATATTTGCCATAGTTGCCACGCTTGGCAACCGCAATTTTTTATTTTTAATCGTTATGTCGTTATTAGGACGCTGCTGCTCATCTGATCTGTTTCCCTCCGTCATATATATATATATATATATATATATATATATATATATATATATATATATATATATATATATTATATATTGTTGCCCGTTTATGTCAATTGCTGTCCGTTAATGTCGCTAACACTCAAAAACGGCTGTACAGATAATAAAAATTTTTGTACCTATGTGTTTGAGCGGGACTTTGTTTGGTTTAGATTCACTATACCTGGAAGGTGGCGCTGTCGCCATCGTATTGAATAAAAAAGTATTCATCACAAAGAAAATTCAACTCTTATATTTTTCTTATATCGCTAAGTGAAATGATAAGCTTACAGGAACAGCGTCAGCAAACCGATGAGAACGATGGCGAGGATACCCTTGATGCAGACGTCGTACTTGCGGTCGAAGGGCCGCCGCCGCCTGCCGACGCGGCACCACTGGCAACAACACCAGAACAGCCTGCAAGACAAATGGACACGTGACAGCTTCTTATGACTCGTCTGTTGCATCCATTACAACATACAAACGTCCACTGCTGAACGTGGCCTCTTTCAGAAAGTGCGTCATAGATAGGATCTTGCCACAGTTACCACGCAGCCGTTTTGTTACCAGAAAGATGCTGCTACTCATCTTCTTTTTCAGTTTCCCTCCGTCGCCTAATGCGACACACACAGGACGATATCGGCTAGTGGGTATGCTTACACCGCCACTATAGGATATTTTTAAGTGTGATTATCAAATGAATGGTCAAATCCAAAATTGTATTTAGACACAATTATAATAATGAAGATGTCAACTCTAAATGAGCAAAATTTCAAACTCATTTATAAAAACAAGCAAAATGTAAAACATTTATTTCTTACGTTGGGTTTCTATATTTAAAAACACTTCGTTTTCTGTTCCAAGCCGTTTTGTAGTAAATGGAGTGTATGAAAACCAATGTTTTCAGTTTATTTATTTATGAACCGTTGAAAAATTTCCTCTGCTGCTAAGTAAATAATTTGTAATATAAACGGTTTTTACATGCAACTCGTATGTAATAAAACGGTTCGTTACGAATAACGAAATGTTTATTGAATATAGGAATCGGTACTCGTACCTCGTACGGTGCCTTTGCTTATTATGCGTTTTTTTCTTAACAACAAAGAACAGAGATCATTACGCACTCAGCAAAATGGGTTGTGTTTTAATTTCTTTGTGAATATCACTTCTATCAGCATTATCATCAACATATCCTCTTTATCACCGAGTTATCATCCTTATCAACTATCATCAGGAAACCTTTCACACTACTTGACGGTTAGTTTTTAGTCAAGAGTTCCGAAAGTTGGTCATGCTTCATTTTATACAAGTTCGTTTGTAATAAATAATATCCTCCAGGCAGAGTTTCGGTCACGGCGATCAGTCTAAACGGAAATTAGGGCAGGATGATAGACCAACGGCTTTACGTGCCTCGAACCCTGGACCTCATGATCACCAACTGCTTTTACGACGACTAGACCAGCGAAGCAGTCAAGCCTTCAAGCCTTCCGATTACCACTTCTATCAGCATCTTCATAAACTTTATTTATCAACTATTATCAGTACATGTTACACACCACTTCCGCATGGTTCCGCATGGTGGTGAGTGTCAAGAAATGGAGACGCTTTTTACTGGAAGCGAGGCATCCCACGTTAGTACTCAGGGGTGACAAAGCATTTGCATTTTGATTCTTATCGAAGATAGATGTAGATGTCTATGGGCCGCAGCAACCAATTACCAGCAGGTGTACTGTGTGCTCGTTTGTCACTCTATTCTAAAAAACAAAAAATAAAATAGATAAATGTAGATGTCTCCCAGCAACAAATGGTAAGCATCAGGTGGAGATGTGATCGTTTGTCACGCTTATTCTATAAAAGGACATAATGTTTATACTGACCCAGCGAGTGGCAATGAGGCTGCAAACAGCGCAGCTACGAGCAGCGCGGAAGTCGGACCCGCGTAGTGCGTGAGCAGCGGCCGCCAGTTGTCCCGCGCCGAGGCCACCTCCACGTGGCCGTCCGACACCGACACTATGCCTGCAACAGACCAATCTACACTTAATCTCGTTTTCAACCGACGATGCTTCATCTGCTCCAGAATCATATTGAATTCCTAGGTATATAATATAAATTTCGTGAACGCGCTACGCGGCAAACGTCCCGATACCATCAACACCATCTGGATGCTTGGCGGTCCACCACTGTACGTTTCAGAAGGATTTTTCTTCCGCGTACGACCTCTCTGTGGAATAGTTTACCACCGGCGATTTTTCCGGACCGATACGACCTGGGGACCTTCAAGAAAAGAGCTTACTCCTTTCTAAAGGGCCGGCAACGCACCTGCAATTCCCATGGTGTTACGGTTGATCGTGGGCGGCGGTAGTCACTTACATCAGGTGAGCCGCATGCTCGTTTGCCCCCTCTTGTATAAAAAAATCGTGAATAAAACAAATTTTTTTAATTTGTCAATGTAAATTTGTGTAGGCAAAAAAGTCACTTTCACTTTTTCTCTTACGACTCTCCATTCGTGAGATATCGCGGTTTTAATAATTAGAAAATTCATATTTTACATAATATGCACACATTTCCGTACCACATATGAGGTAATGTACTTGGAGCATTTTTATAACGTGGTTTTGCCAGTAGGAATACTCCACGATCTATTGTAATACTGAAAGTTTGATCAGATCGTATCTATTGATTGAAAGAATGGTAATATTGCTAATGATCAAAGTGGAATAGGCTTTTATAGGACAGGGTGACAAACGAACACACAGTCCACCTGATGTAAAGTGGTTGCTGCGGCCCATAGACATCTACATCTATCCTCGATTAGGAATTAAAATGCAGACGCGTTGTCACCTTTGAGGACTAAGATGAAATGCCTCGTTTCCAGTAAAAAGGGTTTCCGGTTCTCTACTACTCATAAATATTTTCATCTGTTGTATTTATTGCAATATTGGAGCAAGTCTGACCCTGACAATTGATGCATACTGGTGAACAAAACAATCCCACTTTTTGACAGCTAAAATTCTTACTACAATCCGTGTTGCATTTACAAAAAATAGTATTAAGCAGTTTTTTTTGGAGCAGGCAGGAGTAGAGTTTGAATAGTCTCCAAATAATTATCTGTTAATTTCCAACCCCATCCTTCTCGGTCCAGCTCATTGCCTAGCACAGCCTAGCACAGCCTAGCACAGCCTAGCACAGCCTAGCCACACTTGAACTTGATAATACGCACGATACAAGTGTTGAAAGGTAGAAGCAGATGTTGGAGGCAGACAAGACAACTGTACTGTTTTATTATTCCATGCAGATTTTACAAACCTCAAATATCCAAATTTGTCTATGGAATCAATTTTTTTTGGAGCACCATACATTGCAAGAAGAAAATGAATTCCATTTGTAACGGTGTCGTGGGGAGTAGAGTCAATCTTTGTAAATACTTCTACGCAATCAATTAAATCATTACGTTTTTCGAACAATTTAAATACTGCTATTTTACCTCTTTTAAAAAGTGCTGATGTAGTATCGCAACCAGTTATTGCAGGTAAAAATAAAATATGAGCTTGACATTTCGGATATACCGTCAAACTTTGTGATGAATATATTGTTGATTGTATTTGAGCTTTCCCAGGTTTCAAGTTTTAGTTCATATTATGTAAAATATAAATTTTCTAATTATTAAAAACCGAATGGTGAGTCACAAAAATGGTTCCGTAAGAGAAAAAGTGACTAATTTTTCTCTTACGGAACCATTTTTGTAGAGAATTGTGTGATCTACAACTTTTATCTGACCTATTTTCACGATAAAACTTACCGTTCTCGAGAAAAGTGGAAAACTTTATTTTGTACGTTTGACCTTCAATAAATTTATTTGCAGAAGTTGGATCGAAGGGGATTTTTGATATTTTATTTATAATAGTGTATTTAAAGTCTCCGCCAATTTTCAGCTCTATGCGAATTTTAGCTAAGTTATGACTTATTTTTGTCTATTTTGTCTATTTTGACTGGACTATATCATCAGGTGGGTTGCGTTCGTCACCCTTATTCTATTAAAATCTATTAATAATAAATAATACTACTGATTTTCGGTGACTTTCGGTGGATGTAGGATGGCGGTGATAGGTAACAATTTTCATATTAACTCATTAAAAAGATGCGTGCGAGAATATTTAATGGTTCGGAAAAGTAAAATATACCTGCTTGAAACCCAGCGGTACTTAAAAAATAAAAATGTGAAAACATTTAGAAACAGCATGGTAGCGATCAGCTCATTCCCAGGGGCTATTACTCTTTAATAGTATAATAACCTAGATATATAAACTAAACAATGTCTGCTTAATAAAACTTCAACTTTTTAATAGATACTTAAATCCTGTATATTATACAAAACAATACAATGTTTGATGTAATGTAAAAGCGATACCGCATAGTATATTATAGTATGACAAATTGATGACATTGAAGTCCAGTAAAAGACAAGCATCGCCACACACGTCGCCTGTCGACGCAGCCCAAAAAGAAAACTAAATCTTAACACCCAATTAGTGATGCTCGATATGCATCGATGTTTACCAGGGAAACATCGAAAACGTCAACACATCGATGTTACGAGAATAATATTCGTAAAAAATATAATTTAAGCCATTAAGGACCCATTAGTTTTATGGCAAGCCCCAGATTCCATTTATCCAAAATTTAAGAAAGTAGTCATTAAACATTTGTGCTGCACAGCCACTTCGACAGCTTCAGAAATATTATTGTCAAAAGCTGGTCGACATTCGCACCCACAAAAAACAGATTAAAAGGAAATTTTTTGATAAAGTTTCTTTCTTATAGAGTGTACTAAAAATGGGAATGTTAATTCGTAATCACCGTAATAAATACTTACATTGAATAAACAAAATAATCCTAACATATTTATTTTGAAAACTAAAACATCGATATTTTCGGATCCTGACATTTTCCTTTACACATTTATCGTACATCGATACTTTAGCATCGATATTTTTCTAGTATCGTTCATCCCTACACCTACACTCAATTTATTGTACATCCGATCAAGCCCGGGCTGTGGCCAGTTAATGCACCATTTAAAATTAGTCGTCTTCATATCTACCGTCATTATCTCGACATACTGTCTTCAATTGCCTCTTATCGAGCTTACACTTACAACCCTGTTAAGAATTAAAGCATAACAGACTCTATTCTGTAACAAGTAATGAATAAGAGAGATCGACGGTGCAAGCCGCTCAGAGTAATTTATTCTCTCGTAACGGATGAACTTTATCACGGAGTTCAATTTAATGCTTCTTGCTGTCCCACTTACTGCGGCTGTGAAACTATGAAAAGTTTCGCGTTAAAGTCTCTCACTACGTTTGTACGTTCAATAGGCACAATTGTACGCCCGCTGGTGTTTGTTAGCGCTAGATATGCTGTTGCCCATCTGTATTACATACTTGTACATAATATTAAATAATATCGCTATTGATATCTATAAAGCTCAAATCTATATGTAAATAACATTATGCTGCTCCGAAAAATGGACATCAGCTCAAGCGATACCGAATGCTGTATTTTTTAAACTGATATAACAAATAAACTACTAGACTTGTCGGGATATTGGCAAATAAGGTGTTTTAGTTCTGCCATAGATTCAATCCTCTGACGTGATTTGTCCAGCAAAATAATAGCTATTTTGCCTTCGACCGACCAGCAATTCTTTATCCTGAAATGTTTACGAGCTGTCATATATACTTTGTGCCTTGTCTTAGTCAAAAACTCAGATATTGTGATACCTGAACCTTTTAGTGAAGTTTTGTTATCCCAGACAAGACGACGACTTTCCATACTACCGAATTAAACAAGCACTGGACGTGTTGAGGCTTGAGAAGATCCAAGACGATGGCATACTTGTATATCGTCGACTTTCAAATCGGTCGCCTTCATTTGGTCGGAAAACAGCTTATATACCGATTCACGCAACTTCTCATTCTGTCTTTCAGAAAAACCATGGATAAGCAGTATTTTTCTTCTCATTGCTGTTTCATGTTTGTCAATATGGTATGTAACTAAGTCCAATTGTTTTCTGATCGGCGATAGCGATTGACAAACAAAGGATTTGAAATCGTTGAAGTCCTTGGACAGTGAAGAAATGTCTGGGTGAACTGGCGTGGTGACAGCTGTACCTTTTAAAAGCTTATCTGCATACTCACGCATGCGAGAAGAAGCAAATAATTTTTCCAATTCATCAAGATTATTTACAAGCTGTGGGTCCATATTAGACTGTTATGCAAAACTGTGGTTTAGAAATAAAAAGATAGAAAGTGTTAAGAACAGCACGTGTTGGTAGACTTTAGCTTTGTTTTAACACATTTGTTTAGAAAAAACGAGTACTTTAAATAATTTAACAATAATAAATACGATAAGCACACTGAGTTTGCGTGTTTACTTTGCGACTGCCCGCAAAAAATAAATTTACAGTCCACACACACAATGGTAAGTGGTTATTGCAGTCCACAGACACCGGCAGCCAACTCCAAACAAATATGCAGATGCATTGTCCCCCTGGGGGCTAATACGGAATGTCTCACAGCGTGTGATTACACTGTGTCTGTACTCTATAGATCAGAACACAGCAGTACCAGCGCTGCCATGCTGCTGGCGGCAGGAATAGGTGTGGTGTCTGCGCAAACGGTCTCCGACGTAGAAAAAGAGGTTACGGATACGTCGTATTGATGCGTTGTCATCTCTAACAACTCCTGGATTTATATATTATTTGATTTTTTCTGCGAAGCGGAGGAAAAGTAGGTCATAAATCTGATCACAATGACTGGCAACTTGCTATATGACTAGAGCGAAGGAATGATGGATGAAGGAACGAAGGATGGATGAGGAAGGCAGTAAAAAATTATTGGTAGGATAAGGGCGACGCGCGAGCACACAGTCCCCCTGACGGTGACTGCGCCCAATAGACATCTACATCTATCCTCGACTAAGTATTAAAATGTAGAGGCGTTGTTACCCATGAGTCTCCGGGTCTCCCGTTCTGTACAGCTTTACACTCACCATACGAAACACAGCATTTACTGCGGTTTTACGCTGGTGTTCTGTTAGGGCGTGGTCCTACCCCGGTCAGCAGATCCATCCGTGCTGCAGCCAATATTTTTATATTACCAATCTTTTGTGCTTTAGAAGTAAAAATAGTCAAGTATAAAAGACAAAACGACGTAACAAAATTTTATAACAAGAAATAAATTATTGTTTAATGCTTAAAGTGCAGTGAAATTTCTTACATCAAATTAATTTATGTCGTATCTTGTTATTTTTACTAATAAGGTAATAAGTAATAACATACAATGAGACTCAGACGGTGAAGATTTCGTTTTTCACTAGCTCTCACTTATGAGTACATTCATTTTTTTATTTAAAATAACATTAAAATTGGCTTGATAAACATAATAATAATTCAATTCACTTAAAAAAATTGTAAAAAGTTTGGGCTCGTCCGGGATTTGAACCCGGGACCTCTCGCACCCTAAGCGAAAATCATACCCCTAGACCAACGAGCCGCTTGCTCAACGTTTTAAAATTGTATATATATTAAAAACACACTGCTCCATACCGTTAAAATTGGAAATTAATTAAACCAAAAAACAGGAAAATATAGTTCAGTATCATTCATATAAACCTACTAGAGTTACTTTTATCTTTATTAATTAAACCGAATTTGATATACTTAGTAGGTAAATCACAATAAGTATCACCGTCATAGTTACAATTAAATATTATTCACCATAATACAACAAACATAATCCAACAAACATAAAACGTAACTTTTACAACAATGGGAAGGCCAAGTTAATAATAAAAATTAATTATAAACAAAAATTTGACCTCAACTGGCAGATGGAAAGTCGAATACAACATCAATTATTATATTGGCGTGAAATAGAGGCTTCCTTTAAAGGACTTCTGGCAACCCTTAGTGTGAAACGTACTTGGTCCTATAACTTTATGCGAGCTGCACGCACACAAATGTATATAGTTGTTATAGCGAACAGTTGTTATAGCGAATAGTCGAATTACTCGACATAAAAAAGGAATACAAAAATTATTTTATTTGTTATCAAATAATATATAAAAATATCACAATATATAATATCATAATGTATCACAAATATCATATTGTAGTGTAGTATTCTTGAGCTTACCAATAATTTATTTGTTACTGTAACCTTAATTTTTCTAGGTTATGATAAAATAAAACTATCAAGTTAAGTCTCATATTATACAACCCTTTTTTGTACCCATTTTACGGGAATACCTCGTTTTGTATAACCCTGCATTTAATACAGTAGAGGATTTCCCGCCCAATCGATATCGCTTGTGTTTAGGTTGGGCAGCACGCATTTGTTTTTCACTTCGTTCAGAGCGTTGCTTCATATACATACTCTCCAGCTAGTGATAAATGATGTATTAAGAAACAGTCCCCCAATAACAGAAATTCTGACTAGAGCCCGCCGCATTGTGACACATTTGAAATGTGTCACAATGCGGCGGGTTCTAGTCACAAGGGATATACAAAACTTGAAAGTATTCAATCTGAACTCGGATTGCCTAAACATAAACTGATTCAAAATATTCAAACTCGCTGGAATTCAACATAATTACCTAAGAATATTTATTCCTGTATTACATAATATAAGAAAAATTTAAGTGATTATTTTAAGTGTATAATTTTTTTGTTCATTACAAATTTATTTCGGACAACTATTCGCCGAATGTCGAATAATACTGGCTATTATTCTGTATTTGACGAATAACAAAAAATGTCGAGTAATGCCGAATAGCGAAACATTGCGCGTATTGCTACATCTAGGTCCGACAAACGGGGCACGCGTGCGGTAGTACGCAGCTCGCACCAGCTCTAGTGACACGTGTTCAAATAACGAAAAGTTAAAACGAAGTCCTGTGTGGTGAAATCATGCAAAAACTACATGAATAAATTTAAAAAAATCACAAGGAATCACCTATCACGAGTAAGCTACTGAGAAATGTAATAATTTTCATAATGTCGTTAAATTTTGAAACAAATTAAGAGCGCGACTAAGGTTGATTTTCTCCTACAAACTTAACACCAAAACCATACAACCGGGAAAAGGTTATTTCATTGTTTTATTTAAGCGACAGATTTATTTTATTTATTCTGATATTAATTAAAATTATATGATCATCTGGCACAAGTTTACAAACAGCGATAATTTATTGGTTTTATTGGGGGAACATCAATATAATATAATACGATACTACATAACACAGTAAACGTTTACTTACACAACGACGTGTGTTGTTTTAATATTATACCTGTCTACAGATAGACGTGATAACTCTGCGGCAAAGCCGTGAACAACTCGTAAATTTCACAGTACGCAAGCAATCCGGATTCGAACCCCACCATTACCTGTAACATTGCTCAAATCTATTTCAATTCTCAATTTGCACTGAAAAATGTCAGTGTATCAATTTAGCACATTTAGCAACGTGCTCAGCTATGAAGGAAAGCATCTTGAAGAAACCTACGTATCTGAGAAATAAAATATTAATTTAAGAATTTTGAACTCGCTTCCAATCTAGTTGGACCAACCACCGCCTAACTTTTAAAAACCAAAAGCGATGAACTCCGTATTTCTTCTGTCGTCTTCTCCATTTGCCGGTCGCTCATTCGCTTGTGAGTGTTTTTTTTGTAAAATAAGTGACGAACGAGCACAAAGTCCACCTGATGGTAAGCAGAAACTGTGGTCCATAGACATCTACATCTATCCTTAATTAAGAATCAAAATGTAGATGCATTGTCAACCCTGAAGACTTACATAGAAAACCACTTTCCCAGTATAAAGGGTCTAAAGTATGAATAAAGATGTAACATTTATGTCATTAATAGGTTTCCACGAAATAAAAGTCGTAATGATGCATGAGTCCGGGTTATACGAAATTGTAGAGGAGATATCGATTGGAAGCCATCAACTACCAGCACCGTGTGCAGTGCACATTTTGATGACGTCGATTTTATAACAACAGCAAAGGGATTACGTTGCCTAAGGCCGCATGCTATTTCAAAAAAGGTAAAACCATGAACGTATGTAAAAAGGCGGACTGAATCTCACTATACAACTCAATGAAGCACACAAATCAAAAACAGACCGACTGACACGCTTGTACGTGCATGCGGTCACCCACACATTCACACTCACAATAAGCCGCGTGGCCGCCATTACGCAACAAACGTCGTCCGCGAGTAGTTGTCCTAAGTAAAATCAAAAATAAATATGCCGTCTTGCGTCGTTAAATTTTGCAAAAATCATAGTGGTCTTATGAAAAAACATCAAGGAATCACCTTTCACAGGTAAGCTAGTAACTATAATCACTTATTTGCGAATTTAACAACATTGGACATAAATTAAATGACTATTTTGGGAACACCAAACCTGAGTCACCTGACCAGTGTTGTTAATTATTTATGGGGAAAATTACCCGAGATTGTGGAAATTGCTGTTTTAACGTTTATGCACTTTAATGTTACCATTTTCATAAAAAACTGTCGGATTTGATTATATTACGGTTTCTTGCGTTAGATATATAGCTTCTGAGAAGGTTCTTCGATATATTTTAGCTGCAATCGTGATTTTTATTTTTTACTATGTTACCATTTCCTAAAAAAACTACTGGACCGATTATATGTGGTGTTATGTTTTACGACCACAGAGCGCTGCAACCGTGATTAAATTTTTTATGTCATTTTTAACTTAGTACATATCAATGTCTATATTTTTCAAGGTTTCCTAAAACCAATGAAGTATGGAGAAAAACCTTAATTAATATAATTAGAGAGAGTAGACACGAAAATAATTGGCTTCCATCGAAATCAAGTGTAATTTGCAGCGAACATTTTGATACTGAAGATTTATACACAACGAAAGAAGGAAGAATTCGGGTTGCTACTTATGCAGTACCAAAAAAGGTAAGTAAGTAAGAAAGAAAGAAAGAAATATTTATTTGCCCATTTCTTAAGAAATTAGCACTAAATAATTAAAATAAATATTACCTATAGGTAACTAGACTTATTTATACACTTAAAATGAAAAATAAATCATTTTAACAACGCAGATAGGTACAAAGTAAATACAAAAAAGCGAATAGCTAACTAGAAAAAGAAGAAAAAGCTTGTTTTATATTATATTGTAAACTATCCACCTTCGATAGCTTTATAATGTTGCAAAATTTAAAGGAATCGACCCAAAAAAAAAACTAAAGGTTCATATTATTAACTAAACCTTATTTTTGAGAATGTGTACATTGTTTTTATTAATTATAACAATCGTGATACTAAAAAACCTTTACATAACATAACACTTATGTTAAAAACCATTTTGTTGAGAAATTTATTAAACAACTGTCTTTTACTTTGTAAAATTCTTGAAATTACCTCTAATTTAGAAACGTGGTGAGAGTCCAGAGTCCCGCCTGGTGATAAGTCGGGGATTAAAAATAAGTTAAAAATAAACGTTTGGTAATTCCAAATGCCTTAAGCGCTCATGTTAAACGTAATTTTTTAAAGTATTTTATATACACACAAGTTCTCACAAATAACCTTGTTACTATCACTTCTAATTTTCCGATAATTTTATGTCAAATGTAATTAAAAAAGTTTTGAAAATCCCAAAGTGCACAACTCATAATACTCATTATGATTATAAAAAATGTAAAAAAAAAACAGAAAATATTTTTTTCACACAATTTCCCGTAGTAAAACACCTAACTTCTAGATGTGCCAGCATTTTTCTGTAGCAACCTTTGAACTGTCTGATATTAGGGTTGAAATTAAAGTCACCTTGCATTCGAATAAGGGGGAAAATATTTATAAAATATCCTGCGTTAGATTGTAAGTTGGCAGGTGTACATAATGTTTTTTTTCATTATGAAATTTTTAAGCTTTCTATATTAATTAAAGTGTTAAGGAAACCTGTTTTATACATAGCTTTATTAAAGGTACACAGTACTAAGTAATAACAAATGTTAGTGTCCCACCTCGCTTTACATTTCTTACAACTGTCTCATTGCCCATGAAGATTCGATTACATACATAATTGGTTAGTTACCTATTTATATATAATATACTTCGTTCAAATATGAACTTGTCAAGAACAATTTGCTAACAGCATTAAACATAATATGATTTTGTATAATGCTTTTATATTAGAAATAATTTAAATCAATGGGCTTTTTATTGTACCTATCTATACAATATTCGATTTCAATCAAAATCCAAATTTAAATTCTAAGATTTGTTTAACTGTCAACTATGTAATATAAATAATATTAGTTACGTAATATTAAGTATGGTGTTAAACTTATGTTCTATTTTGATATATTATGTTATAAAAAAAAACGGGGAAATATTGTTTCACATGACAACCCAAACCACTCCACTCCAATTGCATCGCCGCCATTGTAATGCATCAGTCCTTAACAAAATTCAGTCCGCCTTTTTATATGTCTATGGGTAAAACTGTATTATAATTTATAATTATAACACTTAACCTATCTGTCTAAAAGTTATTAACACGTATAGAACAAGCCTGATCCTATACAAATATTTATTAACTTGCAGTTACTATCGAACCTTCCAGACATCCAAAAGCAAAAAACGTCTTCTTCGCCTACTATCCTGCAGGTATGTGTATTTTTTGATTTAGCTTTTGTGGTTGTAAGGTTTTGTTGTTAATTCAATCATATTTAAAAAATAATATTTTTTAAAGGAATCATCAAATGTAGAAGTAGCAAAGGATCCACCGGGGTCAACATCACTCAGCACGATATCGACTCTGTCGACGACGCAAGTATGACGAATTATTTATTGTTTAATTTATTAAAAGGTTCTCTACTTATAATTAGGTATTTAAATGACAACAAATACTGTTTTACTTTGTGTCGTTCGTCAAGAGTGACGTTTGCTATAGTTGGCACGCTTGGCAGGCGGGTTCGCTCTTGGCCACGTGAAGAAACTTAAGATCGGCCAGAGAGCTGTGGAGAGAGCTGTGCTCGAGGATTCTCTGCGTGATACTTAGGAATGAGGTTATCCGCATTAAAACCAGAGTAACCGAATTAGCCCAACGGAGTAGCAATATCAAGTGGCAATGGGCTGGTCGTATAACTCGAGGAATGGACAACCGGCAACATGTGCAAACAATGGGGAGAAAAGGTTCTCCACCTACAACCTCGTACCGGTAAGTGAAGTGTAGAGCGGCCTCCCTGCTAGATGGAGTGACGAGCTGGTAAGATATGCAGAAAGTAAATGGATGAAGGTGGTTCAGCACAGTGCTTTGTGGCATTCATTGGGGGAGGCCTATGTTCAGCAGTGACTTGTGAAGGGCTTTAACAAATACTTTTTACTAAAATACTATGTTACTTGAAGGAATGCTTCTTACAAAATATTATTTTAGGTGCCGGTGCTTGTAAAGGATGAATTAATCGAATATTGTCGATTATGTGCCGCTTCAGATTGCGTTGGCGAGCTATTAAACCTTCAGAGTGATGATGCTTTGAGGAAACTGGTATTAAAAATGACAAAAAGGTTGAACACTAATATTGACTTCAGCCAAGAACATCTTCCAACAACAATTTGTTCTGCGTGCGTCAAGGCGTTATATACGGCTTATGACTTCGTCGTAGGCATAGACCAGGCGCAGATAACCCTAAATAATAAGCTAATCCAGAAAGGCGTACATCAGATGCCAGGAAATAGGTATCTCGACAACAACCCGGATTTATCTAGCAGGTCTTTACAGCAGGTATGTATACAAAGAACTTTAGTATCGTTGAAATAAAACTAGTTTTTACGGATTATATTTTTTTTTTATTCCTGAAGTTTCGAGCACTTGGAGTATTCGCTTAAATACAAGAAATCATTTAGTATCGTTGTTAAAACTTAAATCATAATAAAGTTTTTGTTTTTGTTTTAGGTTTCAACAAATAAAGGGACAACGGTGGATGAATTTGAATTTGAGCAGAAACCACTACATGTGCCGAGCACGGACTTTCTTTTGACACAAGTATGCTTATTTTTAGTGGATTAATTTACAGAAGTAATTTAGAAAACGTTTGATCACTCTCTTTAGAAGGATATCTGCTACCATTACCGTTACAGCATATTAACCTCCACTGTTGAACATGGGTGTTTCCCGTACACTGCCTCATATGGGAGATGTTTGTCACAGTTGCAAGCGGGTTGAGATAGATAGAGGATATCCGGCGGCGTTTAATTTTTACAAATGTTTTCAAATTGCCCAGTTTAAAAACGGTCCAATGTCAGATAGCAGCAAAACAAATAAACTAACAAAACATACGCAGACAACCACAATCCTACACATATTGTTCTTGACCTAAAATATATAAAAGGTACAGTTTTAGATTAGGGAACAATCATAGGCAGGTATAATGAGTCCAAGCTGCAGTACTCTCTCGAGAATTTCTATTGCGTCTCGTAAACAACACGACGGCAACAGATCCGTTAAAAGCCTATTTATTAAATGTCCTGCCACCCGGTGTCATCAAAATTGGAGCAGCATATAGTCTTTAAACAGACATTGGCATTTATACCAAAAAAATATATTTATGTATTAAAAAATTCGGATAGACCCTGGAAGAACCACGCTCTTACAGAATACCCGCGTAAAATAGCATCTCAATGCTGCTGTATTTCGTATAGCGAGTGTAGAGAGAGAACCAGAGACCCTTTTTACTTGATACGAGGCATTCCGTCTTAGTCCTCAGGGGGTGACAACGTACTAACGAACTTACTACCGGTAAGTTTTGCTTTGTAATAAAACAGAAACAGAACTTTTTATTCTAAATACAACATAAATAATACTTATTGAAAGTCACTCTTTGATTAATTTACCACAGGTTCGAAAAAAACCTGTGTTCTGGAAAGAACCAGCAAGAAACCCAGCGACACTTTTTTTAAAACAACAGTATGAAGTATTGAATACCGTATGAAATTAATTTCACTTGGTTATTACTGACTTGCAGGTATCTTCAAATAATGAAGTAGCAGCAAGTGATTTCAAGCAGCCATTGTTACCTGGTCGAACACAACTGTTCCGCTTATACAAGTATGTTTACATTTTTAGTGAAATCTTGTCTTTAGAGAGAAATGAGACATTAATTTATAGTATTTTGTTTGCTTTTACAGGTATCAACCAACATTGGACCAGCAGTAAGTAAAATCGAGCAGCCAGCACCACTTGAATCAAGCTCGAACTCACCTACTTGGCAGGATGATGCCGCGAAACGAATGAAGTGCTCGTCGTACGATCTCAGTAAGCAAGTGCAGAGAATTGATGGTCAAAGAAAGAATATAAAAATATTAAACCAAAAGATTAGACGACTGCAGAAGAGAAATGAATCACTTAAGAATTTAATAATAACCTTAAAGAAAAAAAATACTGATACCAATCCATTCAAAAAATTTAAGCAGTAAGAAGTTTACTAAAGAATTATTTAATAATATGATTTAAAAAAACGATTTACAGGTATTCTAAAGCTATAAATAAGTTAATTATAATTCGCCACAAGTATATCATATTTACATTAGACAATCGGTTGACGCTCACTTAGATGTCCGATCGGTAAAATGGTAAAAATGATCAATGATCATATAAAAGTTATAAAATGAAAAGGCCAAAGTGGGTTACAAAAATAAATAAATTAAATTAATGTAGAACTGAGGAGGGCTGATGGCTGATGAGCATTATCAGAAGACGTGTTTAAAATTTGTTGTTTGTATAATTGCGATCATTGAGTTGGCAACACATGTATAGACGACTTAATTGATGAATGATGATAGATATTAGGAATGTTCGGTAAAACTGAACTATCTCATATAATAAGTTTAAGTGAATGTAAATATATGTTGTCATCATACTAACTATTTAGATCTCATCATATTTATAAAGTACTTTCCTGGTCATTGGTAAAAAAAGATAAAAGTTAACATAAAGGTAAGGGATTTTGGTGCGTCAACTTTTTTGAGTAATTTAATCGGACTTAAAAAAGATAGGAGCTTCGACATAATATATTTGATTGGTGTGTACAATTAGTATTATATTTTTCATAGTAAGTCAAGTACTGTAAAGTAGTTTTGCGTTTTTTCATTGTGACAGCTGTAATAAAATTTCCACAAACAGAAAACAAACATTTCATTTGATAAAATACTTAAGCGGGTCACAGACTACGCAGATACGATAATATACTAGTAGATAATATACTATTACTAGGTACTAGAAGTGCTTTTGGAGCGTTTTGTTTATACAGAGTGTCACCTACAACGAGTTGACGTATATTGCTTATAGATTTGCTAGACAGCTCGTCAGAATAGGTTTAAGGTTTTGGCTCTGATGCACGTGCTGCATTAGCATTTAGTAAAAGACGAAACATTTGGAGAGAACGTCACATAAATCTCAAAAAGGACCGAGGCGAATTTAATCGTATTTTTAGCGACCATTCTGTATTTGTCTGCAAGTAAAATCCTACGTCATATCTGTATCTGCAGATGTTATCTGCATATATATTCGTATGAGCAGACAATATTGCCACCATATTTCGACATAATATGTCGCTGCTAACAATACTTACCTATAAAATATAACATATCTACGATACTGCTCCAAAACAACATTGCAATTATTTACGTAGGATATTATCCCTGACAAAATTCCTGCGCGTTATTTATCCATTGTTCCTTTGATGTCCCTAAATTTAAAATAAAAAGAAATGCGCTCAGATACAGATAATATTTAATCGTATCTGCATAGGTATGAGACTCGCTTTATAGTAATATTATATTAATAATATAAATGATCGATAAGTACCTTAATTTGGAAAATGTTCATGACTGAAACGGTTCAATAAATTCCATAATAATAAAAATAATAAATCTAAAACTTGTTGTTATTGCTAACACAAGCTTTATATTGCATAGTGCAGTCATATTTTTTAACCTAGAAGGACGTTTAAGTAAGTAAACTTTTATAATATTAACTACATTAAACATTCACCATTACCATACCAACAGCCTATCGAAGTGCACAGCTGAACGCAGGCCTCACCCATATATTGACCCGTAACGTGGATATCTGCCACAGCTGCCACGCTTGCCAGGCAGTTGTTAGCAGGAAGACGCTGTCGAGAACCATCTCCGTTTCTCATGATGATCTGTTACATTTACGCGAACACTACACATTCAATGAAATTATAAAGCTCGTTTCATTCTATGAGTGGGTACTTTACAGCTCTTAGCAATACTTAGTTAATTAATGCGATAAAATACGTAAAAACAAAGCTTCTAACTACTCCCACAGAATGATATAAAGTAGAGGAATCTGTTACGCCGCCAGTACCAGTCGTGTGAATGCAAGGGGGAAATTCAGACGTGTGTAGTATCACACAGTGAAACATAATATTTATACAGAGTACAAGTTTAGTTATTAAAGGACCTATTAGATTAAAAAATGTCTAATACACAGTTTAGGTTAAACCAAAATCCTTGATTAATTTTGTATTCTTCAAGTTATTTTATAATCACTGTGTTATATTTTTAAACGTTGTGAGTCAAACTAAAATCGCTATGTGTACTTTTTTGTGATAACAAATGTAGACTTTAAAAATAACTTTTAACATTAAGTATAAGCTGAATTAAAAAAACGTTAAAAGAATAAAATAATTTCACATTTAGGAGACGGGGCTTTAAATCCTTCCTCCCTTTTTTAAGTCAGTTATAAAGCATTATGTCTTCGTAGGAAATCACCGTTTTATAAAGGAAAATTAAAACATTTTTTTATAAAACACATACATTCCATTAAATGAATGGCGATGCACCTTTACCATTTTAATGGCCGTTCATTAAGTCCCCTGCTATAGAGAAATCATATGTCGGGATACGATGATTACTCTCGTAAAACCAGTTTATTACTTGAAAAGTAAGTACACTGGTTTAATGTTAATAATATGCTTTTACACGGTTATAAAACCAAATTCACATTCACAACACAAAATGTTGAATCGGTAAATAACAGTGTACTTTTAAATGGAGAGAAGCTGAGTATTGTACAATCCACCGGTTTTCTCGGAATATCAGTTGACGCGAAGCTTCAATGGGGCCCTCATATAACAAATAACTGGCTTAACTAAGTTTGATAACTAGTTTAAACAGAGTTATCAAACTTAGTTAAACCAGTTAATTCTATATTACAAACAGACAATTGAATGTTAGAGTATAGATGTCTCATAATGCACAGTTTTCCTGTTAACAATATTGCAAAGTGGGAGAGCGATAAAGCCGATAGGTAGTGATTCATAATGCGCTGGCGAGCGTGGGAGTGAAGTGAAACTGCGACTGACTGCGACGCTCGCACCTACACATCGCGCTAATTATACAAGGAACCCTATAACACCCTATCTAGAGTTGCCAAAGGTCATTTATTTTAAAGATAGTAACAATCTCTATTTCATACTCAAAAATCGATCTAGTACTTTAATTTGAAATATATAAAAGGGGACAAGGCAATATCGTGCGTATTTGGCAATATATTTAAGCATTGACGGTAGATATATTTTAACAAAGCTAACATTGGTACACTATGAGCTACTTTACCTATGAATAATAACTATTAGTAACATAAATATGGTAAACATAAACAAACTACTTCTTTGCTTCAATATTATATTTACGGATCTACTAATCTACTAAATTGTGCAAGTATTGTTTTGAAATATACCATCTATTTACAGATGTGTCATAAATCACAACTCGTGTACAATAAAACTGTATACTGATTAAAAATACCTATAGCGCTATCTTATTACAAAAACAGTAATTAGTTAATTACTACACTAAAATAAAAACCATGATAATATTTAACAAATAATGGGTAGGAGCAAAATCGTATAATGTGATCTTTCAATATCACTACAATGTAAATTATAAAAGCCTTTTATAGCTGCAAAAGAGAAGTTCATGCCTACTGCCCAGCCCTTATAATAGATAGCGTGATAAATTATAATTATTCCTACGGTTCGATCTCTATATATGTGGTATATGGTAAATGAAACAACTAAACCATCCAATCGGTTCACAGGTGTTGCGTGATGCGTGTTCAGACACACATACAGACAATGTTTCCAAAAAAATATTTTTGGCATCTGTATCGATCATATAGTACTTATACCCCAATATAAATTTAAAAAAATATTCAATGTATATCGTCGTATTAGTTTTATTATAGTAATAGATTACAATTTTTCAGAAAAAGACCCCCTTAAAATATAGACAATACACATATATAATTACGAAGTAGATGCTAAAACGTTCATGTGGGTCACCAGCTGTAACGTCTCAGCCGACGACCGTTAGGTGGCTTGGACTCAAACGCGACCGGTTCCTCCGCATCTAATAGATGATTTCAATACAAGCGAAATGATAGTTGATCATTTAAAAGAAACTAACATGATAAAACTTTAATTTCAGATATAAAAGATCCATAATTAAATAAAAACAAAATACCTAAATAACATCATCATCGCCATCATCAGCCCGCGACAGTCCACTGCTGTACACAGGCCCACGCGACACGATCTTTGTCTTCACGCATCCAGTTGCTGCCCACCACCTAGCGCAGATCTTCGCTCCATCTAACAAGGGCGCGTCCCACATGACCTAAGCGCGGTCTCCACTCTCTAACATGTTTACTCCAACGGTTAACGGATGTGTCCAACCCATTGCCACTTCAGCTTGCAAATACGAAGGCTAGTGGCCTTAGTTCTCTGGCGGAATTCTTCGCTACGAATCCTATCCACCAGAGAAACTCGCTCGGAATAGTCGTGCCGTCGGTGTCCACGTTTTGGCACAATATGTGAGTAATCTTAATGTCTCCTAGATCGAATTTCGGTCACGGCGGCCAGTCTCAATGGTGACTAGCTCATGCACAGGACAGGATAGTGCCAGAGTGTATGCGCAAGCACAGGTGCACTCTATATTGCCTTACTCACATAGTCCGATGGGACGGTAACCCGACACGCACACAATCCGGCAAAAATCAGGCGCAGAGCTTACGGCTTTGCGAGCTTTACGACAAGGCACTGGGTGACACGTCGCCAACTTCTAGACTCCGGACTGCTACCGAGAATTTCTTAACAGAAAAACCCAATAACTGATTTTGT